TGTAAACGAAAATCGCAAAATTACCAAGCAAGTGACTTATCAAAACTTCGTCACCATTACCGATGCTACCCACAAAGATACCTACATTTCCTTATTATCTCGAAAACTGTATTTCATTTTGTTGATCAATGTGACCATACGCCCTTATTACTACCCATAAAAGTGACTAATGCGCTTACGAATGGCGCAGCAGAGGTCGCGAACTAGTCTAGATTTCTGCTATACATCCGGGTATTCACTGGGAAAAAACAATAACAAAGGCAACAACCAGTCCCTGGGAATTGCGTTAGATCAGTGCCCCTTTAATGCATGCCCCCATACCCCCTTACATAGCTTCGCGGGGACCCCATTATTTTGAATACCAATGCAATCACTGATATGTACATGTATTTCTGGGAATGTACAGTTAAATTCCGCTGTAAGCTGATTCTTCAGTAGAGTCATAATGTGTTGGATGGGTACAGTGAAGGGAGGGGCGGCAGTCTATAGATATACAACGTATGCATATATATATGAGGTCACGCATGCAATGTTTTATCATATACATATGAATTAAATACTGGAATTTATTACTTGCAATTTATATATTTTTTCGAAAACAGTGTCTGATAAATTACTAAGTTCTCCCTGTCGCCCCTTTACCACCGCCGTATAAAGGGGGTTTGCGAAAAGAATATAGTTCGTGAATAAAACTAGCCCTGTTAATATATGTTATGCCAAATATATTATTTCATATCGAGTATTAAGTTCCGTGGACATTTTTGTTTGTCATAATTAAACGTTCCTGTTTAAAATGAAAACAGAAATCATTTTCAAACAGCGATTATTTCATTGGCGTAGGATTACATATACAAGTAGTGTGTGAGTGAGTTGGGTTTAACGCCGCTTTTAACAGTATTACAGTTATATCGCGGCGGGAGGAAAGCCCGAAGTGATGCAGGTCTCAGACGTTTACCACTTCGGTGAAACCCACGAGCACGGGTATGGTGCTGACAAACCTAGAAACATAATCGGGGCGAACCTGGATTCGAACCCACAATCATTGGTTTCTGGCTCGCCCAAGGGACGCAACTCTGCACAGCGAAACGCGGCGCCTTAGACGACTGGGCCACCCTTGCCCCCTATACAAGTAGTACTGTGACCATGTCGAACGATCAGCTGAGCGCTCTCGAGGCTTACAAAATCCGCCAAATTTGATCAAATTTTCTCACAGATAAGTATGAACGTTGACATAAACACATTTATAGAACCCCTAACATTTTAACTGAAACATTGTTGCTTGCTGTCATGAATTAAATTAGGAAAGTTCAATTCTCGGAAAATTCAAGCCGGTGTCAGAGAGTGGGATTTCCCCCCTAGTCTAAATTCCCCCCGGAAAAGGGGCTATATAGCCTAATTTCCCCCCGGAAAAAAGGCTGTATAGCTAAATTTCCCCCGGGGAAAAATGACTACATAGCCATATTTCCGCTTTAGAGTCAGATTTCCCCCCTTAACACAAGGGGGGAAGTATGGCTATATAGCAGTAATTTCCCCTATATCCCTCAGATTTTTCAATGCAGTATTAAAAAACATAACCTACTGCACCATTTAACAAACATTGATCAAACAGCAATGGCAAAAGCGAACTTCTTGCATGCCATATTTGACAGAGAAATTTGAGTTAAACGTGTCTCAATTGAAAACAAGCTTTTAGTGTTGAAAACATAGACGATTCCGACTTGCCACTTGTTATTCATGCCAGAGAACCTATTTATGAACTGTTGCTGGATACTAGTAAATACTTCACTGCTGAAGAGCAAGAGGTCCCAGGTTCGAACCCCGTTAGTGTTATTTAGAATAAAGCTTTATTACCCCCAGGGGAATTTGGATTATATTTGAAGTGAAAAGAGTATACATACACTCATTACGAACAATACAATTTCAGACCAACACAAATATCTGCACTCATACATAGCACTCCATGCAAACTTACATAACACTCCATGCATGCAAACATACACACAGAACATACATGCATAACATAAAGCAACAAAATATGCAAGATAAAATATGGATTAACACCAGCACAAAGGAATTAAACAATGATTAAGAGACAAGTTGACTTGGTTCATCATTTAAAAATAAAATACTAACGGGAACAAATGAAGATTTGGCTCTATTTTATTTAAAACAAGGTACACGATATCTTCTTCCAGATGGTAAAACGTCATAACAAGGGTATACAAAGTGATTTGGTTGGTCTAAACTTCTATTTGCAGGCTGTAAAACACGTTGATTGTAAAGAGAGTCCAGACTGTTGAATTTGCATCCTTGGATTTTTGCTAGCCACTGTAGTTATTTTAGTTTTTAACCTAAGGGCTGAGATTAGTACAGGTCCTAAAAGTGTTGTCGCAAGCATAGCCTGCAGTTCACAACCCTGTGCACTAAACAGAATCCGATCATCAGTTGGTAAATGAACAGATGACGGAAACAGTACTCACGTATATATCTTCCACTGAAACACGAGTTGAAAAACTTGCGGGGTCACCTTTGGCAAGTGATCTTGTTCATGCATGCCTCTGTCTACAAACAGTAAATGGCTACCAAGGAGTGAATGTGGTAATGGTAGTGTGAATGGGTAATCTTCTAGCGCCTGACAGGCAGCTTTGGTTGCATATTTCACGTGTAGCTGGGAAGTTCTGGAATGCAAAATATACGGACCTCTGATCGGGGCAAGAAACGCCATGAGCACGCACAGATATATGCGCTATATACGTTGTAAATATACCTTATAATATACTTGGCAGTGAGAGACTGAGGATTCTCGATGACAGAAAAGTGATATGTCACTGCAACCATGGTAAGGAGAACGACTGCCGTTCAAGTTTACAGTGCAGACCTGATAGAAATCAACTAGCAATGTGTTTCAACTAGCAATGTGACGTATTGTTACTGAAGACAGTTGGAAGATTTTAGATTCGCTGATTTACCTCAAATACCCAACAACAAAATAAAAAAATTAAAAAAACACATACCCTACTAAATAAATATATAATAAATAAAACATTTCATTTCGTCAGTGACAAAAGGCTGATCTGATCTGTCGAGTGACAGATCCGCCATATCTCCCTGTCGAAATGAACTATCCTCTATTTATTAGAATTAAGAATGTATGGCGCAAAACAAAAACAAGATTTTAATCATGGTTTCTCTTGTAAATTACTCCATCAGCCAACTGTACATCTAGGTACTTTTGATAATAGACATATGTTTAATTATGGGGCAAATCTGACTCCAAAGCGGAAAATTGGCTATATAGTGTATTTTCCGGGTGGGAAATACGGTCATATATTGTGCTTTCCGTGGAAAGTATGGCTATATAGCCAGTTTCCCGGGGGAAATTTGGCTATATAGCCCCTTTTCCGGGGGAAAATAGGCTAGGGGGGGGAATTCCACTCTCTGACACAGGCGCTTCTCGCCTCGGCGGTACGTCTCGCTGTCGCCAGTTGTGCCTAATGTCTGGCGAAGCATGTCCGGCACAAGAGTGATATTAACATTGCCAAAGATGTTATTTCCAGACATCAGACTCGTCAAAAAGTTCCTGTGGTCAGTTGAAGAGAAGTTATGCACCTGCTGTTGAGACTGAGTACAGTCGGCATCTGACGTAAACAAAGGGGGATAACTCTTTAATGTTTTGATTCAGGAGAAAGTAGTCCGGCACCTTGTTTATATCAGTCACTAGTGACTGATATAACTTTTTTTATATCAGTCACTAGTGATCAGTCACTGATAACTTGATCTACCGTCACTGATAAATTCCAGTATTTCATTCATATGTATATAATAAAAATAAAAGATGTATATAATAAATAGAAAATTCAATGACTGCGTCACTCGTGAAAATATTAGACTCTCTCCACTTCACTCGATGAGATAAAAGTGGTATTTGAGAAAACACATTAAATATCCTCTATATACCATTAATATGTATCCTAAAGAATAAATATGTAAAACAGACAAGGTACCACAGCCATCTGTTTCATAGCGAAGGAAGCGCCTGCCTGGAAGCCAGGGCACGTGACAATTAAATGGCGGTAGTCCGACTGGCTGGCTTCAGGTTCCACGTGCTGTATTCAGCCCTCACATGTGAAAGTTGGAAACACAAAAAGAAACTCCTGCCAAAATGGTCACAGGGTTTGGAATGGCATTTTTCTGATGTGTGTGGGATGTTCGGTAACATTTGTCGTGCTTGTTTTGGTCAGTGACAGAAACCATGACTCAGAATCAAGTTCTGACTTGAAAGCTTTTATATGATGCTACAAACATGAACAAAATTACCCTTATTGTCCTATTGCTCGGAGCTCTCTATACTGTCTCTTCCCCTGGTCACAGCTCCCCAGTTCTGCGAGGCGGCCACATCCATACAAGGAATGATTGAGTTGTAAGATAACATGTTAAGATAAGATATAACACTTCATTGTTCAGAAGGAAATTTGGGTTAAATCAGCACTAGGTCTCATACATTTTGTATCGTAAAACGTATTAAAAAACCTGGTACTAGCTGGTTTGAATGAATTTCCGGCCCTGTTTCTTCTCAACATCCGCAATCGTCGTCGGCAGCCAAAGGAAGTTGCTACTCCGAATCACTAAATATTTTTGTTTGTTGGCAAGTCTGATTTCTATTTCATTCCAACTACTCCGTCTTAGTATAGTGAGAACTTTAGGGGAAAGCAGGGGAGGGGGGGGGGGGGGGGGGGGGGGGGGGCGTTTATGTGTAACCTAGAACCTATCAGACTGAACAAACGTAAGACCCTTGAAGATCCGGGCTTCGGCAACCCATGCTTGCCATACAAGGCAACTATCCTTGTCGTAAGAGGCGACAAACAGGATCTGGTGGTCAGGCTCACTGACTTGGTTGATGCATGTCATCGTATCCCAATTGCATAGATTGATGCCCATGATGTCAATCACTGTATTGTCTGGTCAAGACTCGATTATCTACAGACCGCCGTCATAAATCTGAAATATTGCTGAGTGCAGCGTCAAACAACAAACAAACAAACCTGAAAATCAAACACTTCACATCAATGCATTATTCGATATCATTTAATCTCATCTAAGTTACGTTAATATTAATAATCTTTTAATAAAGATAGCCTGTGTTGGAAAAAGACTTCCCCAAGGTAATTTGAAAGTGTAACATCACATATCTGATTATTGGCATCTTGTAGTTGAACGCACACGGTTTGACCAAGGATGTTTTGTTTCTGGTTTGTTACAGAAGGACCCCAAGCTACAGTGTAGCACCTCTAGTCCAATGGGTCAGTGTTGTTCCAAGGAGGTTGTCCACATTGAGAGGCTCAACGTGGCGGGACGTGTGCAAGGCGGCGTAGGACAAACCTACACTGCAGAACACATCACTGGCGGGATAGCAAACGAGGGGTCAGCTGAGCGTCCACACAATGACACTATTACAGTGGGGATAGGACTAAATGACAACCACACAGGAAACATAGGCAGTGTACCACGTGATTCGAGTGGCAAGGGATACACAAACGGTATACCACGTGCTTCGAGTGACATGGGAAAAGAGAGCGGTATACAACGTGCTACGGGTGCCATGGGAAACACAAACAGTATATCACGTGCTACGGGTGACATGGGAAACACAAGCGGTATACCACGTGCTACGGGTGACATGGGAAAAGAGAGCGGTATACCACGTGCTTCGAGTGACATGGGAAAAGAGAGCGGTATACCACGTGCTACGGGTGACATGGGAAACACGAGTGGTATATCACGTTCTACGGGTGGCATAGGGAACACAAGCGGTATACCACGTGCTATGGGTGACATAGGAAACACGAGCGGTATTCCACGTGCTACGGGTGACATGGGAAAAGAGAGCGGTATACCACGTGCTTCGAGTGACATGGGAAAAGAGAGCGGTATACCACGTGCTTCGAGTGACATGGGAAAAGAGAGCGGTATACCACGTGCAACGGGTGACATGCAAAAAGAGAGCGGTATATCACGTTCTACGGGTGGCATAGGGAACACAAGCAGTATACCACGTGCTATGGGTGACATGGGAAACACGAGCGGTACATCACGTGCTACGGGTGACATAGGAAACACAAACAGTATACCACGCGCTATGGGTGACATAGGAAACACAAGCGGCATTCCACGTGCTACGGGTGACATTGGAAACACAAACGGTATACCACGTGCTACAGGTGACATGGGAAACACAAACGGTATACCACGTGCTACGGGTGACATGGGAAAAGAGAGCGGTATATCACGTGCTTCGAGTGACATGGAAAACACGAGCGGTATATCACGTGCTACGGGTGACACGGGAAACACAAACGGTATACCACGTGCTACGGGTGACATGGGAAAAGAGAGCGGTATACCACGTGCTACGGGTGACACAGGAAACACAAGCACCACAACACACGCATCAGGTGAACTGGGACACCCGGTGTCAGCAAGGGACATAAGACCCCCTGACACTCCAGGAGACAGCTGGACCAGAAACTCAACAGTGCAGGATCCTGCGGTAGGAGGGGGTGTGTCATTCCAGGATATTGACGAGCTCAACCTTTACGTGGCATATGCTGTAGGTGGTGAGAAGAAAGTGCAGTGTCTTCCCTTACAGGAACTAGTTGACATCAACAGGAGAGACGACATCGGGAAAACACCCCTGATTGTGGCCGCTTGGAAGGGTCGTCGGGGGGTGTTTGGCCTGCTTGTGAGTAGGGGTGCTGACGCATCAGTCCAAGATGCTAATTCGAACAACATCCTCCACTGGGCGTCTCACGGGGGCAATGTGGACATGGTACAGTATGTCATCTCTAGTGGTCTTGTTGACATCAACAGTCGCGGGAGCCAAGGGTATTCGCCCGTGATGATGGCGGCAGAACGCGGACACAAGGAAGTGGTCGCCTTACTGGCACAGAAAGGATGTGACATGTCGCATGTGACCAATGGCGGTAACAATATCCTTCACGTTACCTGTACTGGAGGTGATGTGACGATGGTAAAGTGTCTCCTGTTGATGAATATTGTTGACATCAACAGCAGAGGGGCGAACGAGAGAACGGCGACGATGATGGCCGTATTGAAGGGACATAGCGCTGTGTTTGAGCTTCTTGTAAGTGAAGGCAGCGATTTGTCACCCGTGAGTAGCAACAACAACAACATCCTTCACGAGGCCTGTGTGGGTGGAGACGTGAGCATTGTCAACTACATCATCTCCAAAGGTGTCGTTGCTATCAACAGTAGAGGTAAGTACGACAGGACGCCAGTGATGGTTGCAGCGGAGTTTGGACATACTAATGTACTCGAGCTACTTGTGAGGGAAGGCGGTGACGTGAACGTCAGGTCGTCTGAAGGCAACACCATCCTCCATGCAGCGTGTCTGGGAGGACACGTCAAGATGGTGCGCCACGTTCTCTCGACGACACGCGTCAACGTCAACGCCAGAGGTAAGAAAGGGCGGAGCCCCTTGATGTTGGCGGCATGGATGGGGCACCAAGAGGTGTTTGAACTCCTTGTGAGTGCGGGTAGTGACGTGTCACTTGTTGATGATGGAGGTAACAACATTCTCCATGTGGCTTGTCGTGGAGGACATGCGGACATGGTGGCGTATCTCCTGTCGAAAGACGTTGCAGACATGGAGGCGATGGACAATCAAGGACTAACAGCAGTTAGGATAGCTGAAGAGAAAAAGAACAAAGCTGTTGTGGGCGTACTGTCGTCCAAGTTTAAGTCGCCAAGTCATTAAACACATTTAGACAAACTCAGAGTGATATGCATAATACGTTAACCTTATGGGCAATCATACAATCAATATGAAGTCGTTTGGGATTTTACTCTGCGGAGCAAATACTTAATTTATATCACGACGTGTCAGCTTAGGGAGAAAGCCGGAAGTTATTCACTATGGCAAAACCCAGAAGTTCGGGCATATTGTTGTTAAACCAAGAAACACAATAACAGCGAAACCGAGACTTGGACTCGAACCACGATCACGGGAAACTCCACTGCTGGTGATGAATGTGAGTGAATGGTGATTTAGGTCTCCGTCTGCCTCTAGAGTCTGGCTGACTTTGTGTAGACTTGTTCCCTGTATAATTGCTAACTCACCCACATGTGGTCCAGGTGCAGATGTCCGCCGTGTAGTGTAGATTGTGTTTGTAGTCAATAAAGGTCGCATCTTTTTAGTGTATTTTATTGTTGAAAAATGATTGTGCCTGTGTGCGCTCATTGCATTGCATTTGGACAGTGATCAGTTGTCAGGAATGTAGTACTGTTTAATGTAAACAGTTTTTGGAAGTTATTATATTTAGATGCAAGGGTGGTATGTAAACGTCCGGTATACCGTGGACTGATGTAGAATATTCTGTAATGTTCTAGTGCTAGACTGGTAAGGGCTCTGGTAAGGGCACTGTGTAGAAATTTTCAGTCATGGTTAGACGGTATGTAAGGGGACAAGAGCAGCCTCTTGTATCTCTCACACATTTTCATCTAAGAATACATCAAGGCCAGCTTTCGTGTGAAGATCACATCCTATTCCCTGCCTAGGCCCATCTCGGAACATTAATCACAATCGCTGCTGGGTGAAAATGCTATCATCACTGACTTTTGCTATCAACACTGCCATCATATATTTTGCCATTGAATATTGTACTACCATTCGATTGTGTACTGCCATTATAATTGCTGAGCAATAATTTGTGTTGATTTGTAAACTTAGTTAATTTTGTATTACATTTGCTGATTGTATACCACTTGTTGGTTGTTTGTTGGTTTCACACTAAATTCTTTTTTAACTTATTGTTTCAATTTGGGAATCGACACGTAAGATGAGAACTTGCGGATAAATACTAGTATACATGTTAGTCACTGAAATACACGACACGGGGCTGACTTACGTTTGCTACTAATCCACGAGTCCATATACGTTAAATTAATTTTTGCTTTTTGGAGATTTTAGAGAGGTGTTCCCGAACATTGGCGTTAAACAATCGGTTGGGATTAGACCAGTTTATGCGAACGTCGCAAGTGCGACTTTCATACATTTGGGGCTCGTCTCTATATATGTCTCAAACAATATCGATGAAACGTTAGATTTGAACTCATTGACTCATATACTGTCTATATGAAGATTCATATTCCAATAACTGGCAAAAAATGAAAATCAGTTCTTACTTATACTGAATCCGTGGCGTCGATCGCCTCTTCTACAGAACCAGCAGTGGGGTATCTAGGATTCCAAACTAAGTTCCCTAGGCAGGCGAACTGAGAAGGACTCAAAATTTCTAACACAATTTGGTATTTTAGAAAAGGTTTTCTCAAATTAGGATGTATGTTAACATTGCGTCCAATGCAGTAGTGTAATACTCAGCACTATCATTGGTCCTGTTGTTAGTGATACACGTCACCGCTACAAAAGCATGACATCGGTTATCATTGGTTATAATTATAACCACGTGACCATACGTCATACTCCCTGAACATAGTAGAGTATATACAGTATCCGGGATTCGCACCCAAGAACAGCACATCCTGGCAGTGGAATCACCTCCAATAGCGCCTTAACCGACTGGGCTGCATGTGACTCATAACTTTATACGACAAATGTTAATTCTATTTGGTAATGTTATGTGCTAGAATGTTAACCCGCCAAAGACATCGCGATGCAGAGTTGCGTCCCTTGGGCACGCAAGAAACCTATGATTGTGGGTTCGAATCCCGGTTCGCCCCGATTATGTTTCTAGGTTTGTCAGCACCATACCCGTGCTCGTGGGTTTCACCGAAGTGGTTAACGTCCGAGAAACAGTTTTTGATATTTTCTCATCTGTGAAACTCAGTCCAGAGTTATAGATATTGTCAGCAGAGAAGGAAATAATTGAACTTGTTCGAGGCAACATCAAACAATTATATATAGATCTTGACAAAGGCATCCTCAGCGGTTTTCTTGTGCTAGCCCACTGAGATACCATGCCGCTGTTTAACATGAATACCCCACTCAGACAAAGTATACTGACTCCGAGGCGACCAGTCCTTGTTTTAGCCCCTTAATGCCGAGCGTTAGGCATCTGAGTATAAGGCAGGCATCTTCTAACGTTGTTTGGTATGACGCGGTCGGGGATCGAACCACGGACCTTCCGGTCTCCGGGCAGACGCTGTACCACTAGACCACGTAAGCGTCAGGTAAGGACAAATGTTGAAAGTTCAAAACTTCATAAAAATACAATAACATCAAGGCCAACCGGGATTCGAACCCAATATCGTAATATTCTGGCACGCCTTAGGGACGCAACTCTACATCGAGTAATACATGTTGAATCCCTGTAGGTTGATATCGTCGCCAGCTTCTTGTACGTGTATGTGTGCAAGCTTTCGTTTACGCTCCAAATATCGGGGTTACAAAATTTATTTAAAAAATGAACAATTACCACTCGATATCCCAGAGACACGTTAGCTACATTGTTACACGAGGAGCACGGCTATGGCGCAGACAAACCCACTGTTATCAGTAGCTCCCAGTATCTAAGGGGCATAACTCTGCACAGCCTTCCCCTCCAACTCTACATGACACAGCCTGGCGACGTACATGGACTAGCTGCGATCTCCGGATGAATAAACGTTCCACTCGTTGTCACAGGATGTAACACTGTATGAACTATGTTGGCGTGATGTGTCGTTGTCAAGGTGACGATGCTGTAACCGACGTTCGGGCTAGCGTACATCATTGTAAGTACTAGGCCGAGGTGTCTGTCTCATTGTATCTACCCGTTTCATTATCATATACATTATTATAACTCCGAGGAACGAGACGGGGCGGGATGACCTGGGTCACCATGACCTAACTACACTAGAACTGGTGATGTCACCTTTAACCCTTTCGCCCCAAAAAACATGTCCCAGTACCCGGCTGGCCGATAAATCGGGCGGCTACTGTCCAAGTCCCACACACGGCTGCCTGATAAATCGGGCGGCACGACCGTGTTTACAAAATCGCTCTTTCTACTTCCTCTATCGTGTGTAATCTCGTTCTAAAAGTAGAAACAAGACGTAATGACACGTCATTCTATGGAATGTCCCCGTGTTTTTTTCCGCGGATATGTGACCTGTTTTCGCGACAGGTAATTTTTCTTGCTTGAATCGTTAATCTAGTGTAATGGCAGCCAAATAAGATTCGGATAGCGATCAGATGACTAACAACGACTCTATCGGGAATAATAATGTGTTTGATTTGAATAATTTACGCGAAGGGGAGAGGGAATTTCGCGAAGATTTTGGTGAAGATTTTGACGGTTTCGACGAGGTGCGTGAGTGTGAGTGTCGTGTGCAAACAAGACTATGATAGCCTGAAATCTTCAACAAAAAAATCCTGATTTAAGTTTATTGTCATTTTATAAAGTATTTTAAACTTCTATTTCCGCCCTAACCTTATATGGACATCGCCAGTGCAAGGCTATGGGTGTTGTGTCGTGCCTTTGTCTACCCGTTCACGGAAACCGTCCTCCATATATACATGCCGTATCAACAACCAATTTATCCAGACAACGCATTTATCAGAAACCAGCTATCTGATGAAATGTGATCAGTGGTATGGACGAGAGAAATGCTATATCATTACTTGTTTCAAACGTTAAGGATACTTTTGTCAGAGTTGTAATATTTGTACCCACAATCCCCCGCTGTATCTGTCTGAAAGTCATCCACACTCCCCCGCTGTATCTGTCTGAAAGTCATCCACGCTCCCCCGCTGTATCTGTCTGAAAGTCATCCACACTCCCCCGCTGAATCTGTCTGAAAGTCATCCACTCTCCCCCGCTGAATCTGTCTGAAAGTCATCCACACTCCCCCGCTGTATCTGTCTGAAAGTCATCCACGCTCCCCCGCTGTATCTGTCTGAAAGTCATCCACCCTCCCCCGCTGAATCTGTCTGAAAGTCATCCCCCCTCCCCCGCTGAATCTGTCTGAAAGTCATCCACACTCCCCCGCTGAATCTGTCTGAAAGTCATCCACACTCCCCCGCTGTATCTGTCTGAAAGTCATCCACACTCCCCTGCTGTATCTGTCTGAAAGTCATCCACTCTCCCCCGCTGAATCTGTCTGAAAGTCATCCACACTCCCCCGCTGTATCTGTCTGAAAGTCATCCACACTCCCCCGCTGAATCTGTCTGAAAGTCATCCACTCTCCCCCGCTGAATCTGTCTGAAAGTCATCCACCCTCCCCCGCTGTATCTGTCTGAAAGTCATCCACGCTCCCCCGCTGTATCTGTCTGAAAGTCATCCACCCTCCCCCGCTGAATCTGTCTGAAAGTCATCCCCCCTCCCCCGCTGAATCTGTCTGAAAGTCATCCACACTCCCCCGCTGAATCTGTCTGAAAGTCATCCACACTCCCCCGCTGTATCTGTCTGAAAGTCATCCACACTCCCCTGCTGTATCTGTCTGAAAGTCATCCACTCTCCCCCGCTGAATCTGTCTGAAAGTCATCCACACTCCCCCGCTGTATCTGTCTGAAAGTCATCCACGCTCCCCCGCTGTATCTGTCTGAAAGTCATACACACTCCCCCGCTGTACCCGTCTGAAAGTCATCCACACTCCGCCGCTGTATCTGTCTTAATGTCATCCACAATAATCAGTGATTGACATCATGAGCATCGATCCATTCAATTACGAATGATACGATGACATGCATCAAACAAGTCAGAGAGCCTGACCCCCCAATCCCGTTAGTCGCCTCTTACGACAAGCATCGTCGCCTTTTACGGCAAGAATGGGTTGCTGAAGACCTATTCTACCCCGGATCTTCACGGGTCTTTATACCTGTCAATGATATGAGACATAAAGCAAACACAGACGGCCATCACAGAGAAATCAATATCAAAGCGTTTTAGGGAGATACGGTTACCGCAGCAGAACCGTATCACACCTCCTTCCAGGCTGATATGGCTTGTGGATACATCGTGAACGGGCGATCAGTATCAGCCCAGGAGGTAAACAATTAGAGTTACGTCTCTAAGTGCGTCGTCTGCTAGTCTTGTCCAAACCAGGTGAAAAAAATACATTTTACAATTTGCTGTCATGGTATATGATAGAAAGGTTATTTTATCGCAATTTTAATATCATAACCACCCCCATCCCTAAATCATACCTCAGGCCCTGGCGTTGATAAATGTTCTAGGGTTGACATCCATGGGGTATCATATAAAACTACCATACACCAACCTCTAGAAATCACGATTGAATATTAAATGTTCTCTTGGTATTAAGAGTTGAAACATGTAATGCTGTTGTTAGAGTGTTATTTGTGCTCAGGATTGCCTAAAGTTCACCATTTCAGGTCTACTTTCAATTAAACCCCCTTACTTAGATTCGCGCCTACGGCCTCGCGGCTACCGCGTCAAAGGGACCCCATTATTTTGAATACCAATGCAATCACTGACATGTACATGTATTTCTGGGAATGTATAGTTAAATTCCGCTGTAAGCTGATTCTTCAGTAGAGTCATAATGTGTTGGATTGGGTACAGTGAAGGGAGGGGCGGCAGTCTACAGATGTACAACGTATGCATATATATATGAGGTCACGCATGCAATCTTATACCCATTAATATGTAGCTTAAAGAATAAATATGTAAAACAGACAAGGGACCACAGCCATCTGTTTCATAGCGAAGGAAGCGCCTGCCTGGAAGCCAGGGCACGTGACAAGTAAATGGCGGTAGTCCGAGTGGCTGGCATGTGAAAGTTCGAAACAGTAAAAGAAACTCCTGCCAAAAAGGTCACATGGTTTGGATGGCATTTTTCTGATGTGTGTGGCATGTTCTGTAACTGTAAACCATGACTCAGACTCAAGTTCTGACTTGAAAGCTTAAAATATGATGCTACGACCATTAACAAAATTACCCTTATTGTCCTGTTGCTCGGAGCTCTCTACACTGTTTCTTCCCCTGGTCACAGCTCCCCAGTTCTGCGAGGCGGCCACATCCATACAAGGAATGATTGAGTTGTAAGATAACATGTTAAGATAAGATATAACACTTCATTGTTCAGAAGGAAATTTGGGTTACATCAGCACTAGGTCTCATACATTTTGCATCATAAAACGTATTAAAAAACCTGGTACTAGCTGGTTTGAATGAATTTCCGGCCCTGTTTCTTCTCAACATCCGCAATCGTAGTCGGCAGCCAAAGGAAGTTGCTACTCCGAATCACTCCAAACAAGCGATGACTGTCATGACGCCCTACTCTTCACCCAGCTAAATATTTTTGTTTGTTGGCAAGTCTGATTTCTATTTCATTCCAACTACTCCGTCTTAGTATAGTGAGAACTTTAGGGGAAAGCAGGGCGGGGGGGGGGGGGGGGGGGGGGGGGATGTGTAACCTAGAACCTACCAGACTGAACAAACGTAAGACCCTTGAAGATCCGGGCTTCGGCAACCCATGCTTGCCATACAAGGCAACTATCCTTGTCGTAAGAGGCGACAAACAGGATCTGGTGGTCAGGCTCGCTGACTTGGTTGATGCATGTCATCGTATCCCAATTGCATAGATTGATGCCCATGATGTCAATCACTGTATTGTCTGGTCAAGACTCGATTATCTACAGACCGCCGTCATAAATCTGAAATATTGCTGAGTGCAGCGTCAAACAACAAACAAACAAACCTGAAAAACATACACTTCACATCAATGCATTATTCGATATCATTTAATCTCATCTAAGTTACGTTAATATTAATAATCTTTTAATAAAGATAGCCTGTGTTGGAAAAAGACTTCCCCAAGGTAATTTGAAAGTGTAACATCACATATCTGATTATTGGCATCTTGTAGTTGAACGCACACGGCTTGACCAAGGATGTTTTGTTTCTGGTTTGTTACAGAAGGACCCCAAGCTTCAGTGTAGCACCTCTAGTCCAATGGGTCAGTGTATACCACGTGCTACGGGTGACATGAAAAACACAAAAGGTATTCCACGTGCTACGGGTGACATGGGAAAAGAGAGCGGTATACCACGTGCTTCGAGTGACATGGGAAAAGGGAGCGGTATACCACGTGCTTCGAATGACATGGGAAACACGAGCGGTATATTACGTGCTACGGGTGACATGGGAAACACAAACGGTATACCACGTGCTTCGAGTGACATGGGAAAAGAGAGCGGTATACAACGTGCTACGGGTGACATAGGAAAAGAGAGAGGTATATCACGTGCTTCGAGTGACATGGGAAAAGAGAGCAGTATACCACGTGCTACGGGTGACATGGGAAACACAAGCGGTATTCCACGTGCTTCGGGTGACATGAAAAACACAAGCGGTATTCCACGTGCTTCGGGTGGCATAGGAAACACAAACAGTATACCACGTGCTACGGGTGACATGGAAAACACAAGCGGTATTCCACGTGCTTCAGGTGGCATAGGAAACACAAACGGTATATCACGTGCTACGGGTGACATGGGAAACACAAGCTGCATTCCACGTGCTACGGGTGACATTGGAAACACAAACGGTATACCACGTGCTACGGGTGACATGAAAAACACAAAAGGTATTCCACGTGCTACGGGTGACATGGGAAAAGAGAGCGGTATACCACGTGCTTCGAGTGACATGGGAAACACGAGCGGTATATCACGTGCTACGGGTGACATTGGAAACACGAGCGGTATATCACGTGCTACGGGTGACATTGGAAACACGAGCAGTATACCACGTGCTACGGGTGACATGGGAAAAGAGAGCGGTATACCACGTGCTTCGAGTGACATGGGAAAAGAGAGCGGTATACCACGTGCTTCGAGTGACATGGGAAAAGAGAGCAGTATACCACGTGCTACGGGTGACATGGGAAAAGAGAGCGGTATACCACGTGCTACGGGTGACACAGGAAACACAAGCACCACAACACACGCATCAGGTGAACTGGGACACAAGGTGTCAGCAAGGGTCATAAGACCCCCTGACACTCCAGGAGACAGCTGGACCCGACACTCAACAGTGCAGGATCCTGTGGTAGGAGGGGGTGTGTCATTCCAGGATATTGACGAGCTCAACCTTTACGTGGCATATGCTGTAGGTGGTGAGAAGAAAGTGCAGTGTCTTCCCTTACAGGAACTAGTTGACATCAACAGGAGAGACGACATAGGGAAAACACCCCTGATTGTGGCCGCGTGGAAGGGTCGTCGGGGGGTGTTTGGCCTGCTTGTGAGTAGGGGTGCTGACGCATCACTCCAAGATGCTAATTCGAACAACATCCTCCACTGGGCGTCTCACGGGGGCAATGTGGACATGGTACAGTGTGTCATCTCTAGACGTCTTGTTGACATCAACAGTCGCGGGAACCACGGGTATTCGCCCGTGATGATGGCAGCAGAACGCGGACACAAGGAAGTGGTCACCTTACTGGCACAGGAAGGATGTGACATGTCGCATGTGACCAATGGCGGTAACAATATCCTTCACGTTACCTGTACTGGAGGTGATGTGACGATGGTAAAGTGTCTCCTGTTGATGAATATTGTTGACATCAACAGCAGAGGGACAAACGAGAGAACGGCGACGATGATGGCCGTATTAAAGGGACATAGCGCTGTGTTTGAGCTTCTTGTAAGTGAAGGCAGCGATTTGTCACCCGTGAGTAGCAACAACAACAACATCCTTCACGAGGCCTGTGAGGGTGGAGACGTGAGCATTGTCAACTACATCATCTCCAAAGGTGTCGTTGCTATCAACAGTAGAGGTAAGTACGACAGGACGCCAGTGATGGTTGCAGCGGAGTTTGGACATACTAATGTACTCGAGCTACTTGTGAGGGAAGGCGGTGACGTGAACGTCAGGTCGTCTGAAGGCAACACCATCCTCCATGCAGCGTGTCTGGGAGGACACGTCAAGATGGTGTGCCACGTTCTCTCGACGACACGCGTCAACGTCAACGCCAGAGGTAAGAAAGGGCGGAGCCCCTTGATGTTGGCGGCATGGATGGGGCACCAAGAGGTGTTTGAACTCCTTGTGAGTGCGGGTAGCGACGTGTCACTTGTTGATGATGGAGGTAACAACATTCTCCATGTGGCTTGTCGTGGAGGACATGCGGACATGGTGGCGTATCTCCTGTCGAAAGACATTGCAGACATGGAGGCGATGGACAATCAAGGACTAACAGCAGTTAGGATAGCTGAAGAGAAAAAGAACAAAGCTGTTGTGGGAGTACTGTCGTCCAAGGACAAGATGCCAAGTGACTGAACACTTTTAGACAAACACAGAGTGATATGCATAATACGTTAACCTTATGGGCAATCATACAATCAATATGAAGTCGTTTGGGATTTTACTCTGCGGAGCAAATACTTAATTTATATCACGACGTGTCAGCTTGGGGAGAAAGCCGGAAGTTATTCGCTTTGGCAAAACCCAGAAGTTCGGGCATATTGTTGTTAAACCAAGAAACACAATAACAGCGAAAACGAGACTTGAACTCGAACCACGATCACGGGATTAAGGCGGCAGCTTGGGCGACTCTCTCACAAATGTGGAAACTCTACTGCTGGTGATGAATGTGAGTGAATGGTGATTTAGGACACTGTCTGCCTCTAGAGTCTGGCTGACTTTGTGTAGACTTGTTCCCTGTATTATTGCTAACTCACCCACATGTGGTCCAGGTGCAGATGTCCGCCGTGTAGTGTAGATTGTGTTTGTAGTCAATAAAGGTCGCATCTTTTTAGTGTATTTTATTGTTGAAAAATGATTGTGCCTGTGTGCGCTCTTTGCATTGCATTTGGACAGTGATCAGTTGTCAGGAATGTAGTTCTGTTTAATGTTAACAGTTTTTGGAAGTTATTATATTTAGATGCAAGGCTGGTGTGTAAACGTCCGGTATACCGTGGACTGATGTAGAATATTCTATAATGTTCTAGTGCCGCTAGACTGGTAAGGGCACTGTGTAGAAATTTTCAGTGCTGGTTAGACGGCATGTAAGGGGACAAGAGCACGCATCTCGTATCTCTCACACATTTTCATCTAAGAATACATCAAGGCCAGCTTTCGTGTGAAGATCACATCCTATTCCCTGCCTAGGCCCATCTCGGAACATTGATCACAATCGCTGCTGGGTGAAATACTATCATCACTGACTTTTGCTACGAGGTATCACCACTGCCATCATATATTTTGCCATTGAATATTGTACTACCATTCATTGTGTACTGCCATTATAATTTCTGGGCAGTAATTTGTGTTGATTTGTAAACTTAGTTAATTTTGTAATACATTTGCTGATTGTATACCACTTGTTGGTTGTTTGTTGGTTTCACACTAAATTCTTTTTTAACTTATTGTTTCAATTTGGGAATCGACACGTAAGATGAGAACTTGCGGATAAATACTAGTATACATGTTAGTCACTGAAATACACGACACGGGGCTGACTTACGTTTGCTATTAATCCACGAGTCCACATACGTTAAATTAATCTTTGCTTTGTGGAGACTTTGGAGAGGTGTTCCCGAACATTGGCGTTAAACAATCGGCTGGGATTAGACCAGTGTATGCGAACGTCGCAAGTGAGATTTCATACATTTGGGGCTCGTCTCTATATATGTCTCAAACAATATCGATGAAACGTTTGATTTGAATTCATTGACTCATATACTGTCTATATGAAGATTCATATTCCAATAACTGGCAAAAAATGAAAATCAGTTCTTACTTATACTGAATCCGTGGCGTCGATCGCCTCTTCTACAGAACCAGCAGTGGGGTATCTAGGATTCCAAACTAAGTGCCTAGGCAGGCGAACTGAGAAAGACTCAAAATTTCTTTCACAATTTGGTATTTTAGAAAAGGATTTCTCAAATTAGCATGTATGTTAACGTTGCGTCCAATGCAGTAGTGTAATACTCAGCACTATCATTGGTCCTGTTGTTAGTGATACACGTCACCGCTACAAAAGCATGACATCGGTTATCATTGGTTATAATTATAACCACGTGACCATACGTCATACTCCCTGAACATAGTAGATTATATACAGTATCCGGGATTCGCACCCAAGAACAGCACATCCTGGCAGTAGAATCAACCCCGATAGCGCCTTAATCGACTGGGCTGCATGTGACTCATAACTTTATACGACAAATGTTAATTCTATTCGGTAATGTTATGTGCTAGAATGTTAACCCGCCAAAGACATCGCGATGCAGAGTTGCGTCCCTTGGGCACGCAAGAAACCTATGATTGTGGGTTCGAATCCCGGTTCGCCCCGATTATGTTTCTAGGTTTGTCAGCACCATACCCGTGCTCGTGGGTTTCACCTGCACCTGCCCTGCCCTGCGAGACCTGCATCACTTCGGGCTTTCCTCCCAAATTAAGCGGACACGCAGTGGTATAACTGGAATACTGTTCAAAGTGGCGTTAAACCCAACTTACTCACTCACACACACACTCAGTCTAAAGACATTTTACTGATCCAGACATTAATGTATATCTCAACATGTAGAAGCGGGGAACGCGAGGAGCAACTAAACTTTGTACAAAAGATGAAGGTGTTTTTCCAAAATGAAGGATTTCCCTTTGTATTTTTCGCATATCAACACAAAGAACTTCCACTTTGTGGGACGGTGGGGTAGCCTAGTGGTTAAAGCGTTCGCTCGTCACGCCGAAAGCCTGTGTTCGATTCCCCACATGGGTACTATGTGAAAAGCCCATTTCTGGCGTACCCCGCCGTGATATTGCAGGGTTCGACGACTGCATACACGGGTTTGGTCTCCTCTCAGACGTGTAACAGTGAGTCAGTCGAGCTTCCTGGTTTGTTGTCCAACTTATTGTATGATGATAGTTATTCTGGAAGTAGCAGTAGATGCGGTGTATTGAATCACTTTGTACACAACAGTACTTTACGGAAATAAAACAGTTTTTGATATTTTCTCATCTGTGAAACTCAGTCCAGAGTTATAGATATTGTCAGCAGAGAAGGAAATAATTGAACTTGTTCGAGGCAACATCAAACAATTACATATAGATCTTGACAAAGGCATCCTCAGCGGTTTTCTTGTGTTTTCTGTTTAACATGAATACCCCACTCAGACAAAGTATACTGACTCCGAGCCGACCAGTCCTTGTTTTAGCCCCTTAATGCCGAGAGCCAGGCATCTGAGTATCAGGCAGGCATCTTCTAACGTTGTTTGGTATGACGCGGTCGGGGATCGAACCACCGACCTTCCGGTCTCCGGGCAGACGCTGTACCACTAGACCACGGAGACGTCAGGTAAGGACAAAAATGTTGAAAGTTCAAAACTTCATAAAAATACAATAACATCAAGGCCAACTGGGATTCGAACCCAATATCGTAATATTCTGGCACGCCTTAGGGACGCAACTCTTCATCGAGCAATACATGTTCAATCCCTGTAGGTTGATACGGCCACCAGCTTCTTGTACGTGTATGTTTGCAAGCTTTCGTTTACGCTCCAAATATCGGGGTTACAAAATTTATTAAAAAAATGGACAATTACCACTCGATATCCTAGAGACACGTTAGCTACATTGTTAACACGAGGAGCACAGCTATGGCGCAGACAAACCCACTGTTATCAGTAGCTCCCAGTATCTAAGGGGCATAACTCTGCACAGCCTTCCCCCTCCTACTCTACATGCCACAGCCTGGCGACGTACATGGACTAGCTGCGATCTCCGGATGAATAAACGTTCCACTCGTTGTCACAGGATGAACTATGTAACTGTAACACCGTATGAACTATGTTGGCGTGACGTGTCGTTGTCAAGGTGACGATGCTGTAACCGACGTACGGGCTAGCGTACATCATTGTAAGTACTAGGCCGAAGTGTCTGTCTCATTGTATCTACCCGTTTCATTATCATATACATTATTATAACTCCGAGGAACGAGACGGGGCGGAATGACCTGGGTCACCATGACCTAACTACACTAGAACTGGTGATGTCACCTCTTACAGTTGTACCCGCCTCGGTGTGTTAGTGTCGTGTGCAAACAAGACTATGATAGCCTGAAATCTTCCAATCTCATTCAAATCAGATCTTAGTTTTCTTAAATTGATTTTCCTGATTTAAGTTTATTGTCATTTTATAAAGTATTTTAAACTTCTATTTCCGCCCTGACCTTATATGGACATCGCCAGTGCAAGATTATGTGTGAGTGTTTGTTTCCTGCCTTTGTCTATCTGTTCAAGGAAACCGTCCTCCATATATACATGCCGTATAAACAGGCAGTTTATCCAGACAACGCATTTATCAGAAACCAGCTCTCTGATGAAATGTGATAAGTGGTATGGACGAGAGAAATGCTATATCATTACTTGTTTCAAACGTTTAGGATACTTTTGTCAAGAGTAGTAATATTTGTACCCACGCTTCCCCACTGTATCTGTCTGAAAGTCATCCACACTCCCCCGCTGTATCTGTCGGAGAGTCATCCACTCTCCCCCGCTGTATCTGTCTGAAAGTCATCCACACTCCCCCGCTGTATCTGTCGGAGAGTCATCCACTCTCCCCCGCTGTATCTGTCGGAGAGTCATCCACTCTCCCCCGCTGTATCTGTCTGAAAGTCATCCACTCTCCCCCGCTGTATCTGTCTGAAAGTCATCCACTCTCCCCCGCTGTATCTGTCTGAAAGTCATCCACACTCCCCCGCTGTATCAGTCTGAAAGTCATCCACGCTCCCCCGCTGTATCTGTCGGAGAGTCATCCACACTCCCCCACTGTATCTGTCGGAGAGTCATCCACACTCCCCCGCTGTATCTGTCGGAGAGTCATCCACACTCCCCCGCTGTATCTGTCGGAGAGTCATCCACACTCCCCCACTGTATCTGTCGGAGAGTCATCCACACTCCCCCGCTGTATCTGTCGGAGAGTCATCCACACTCCCCCGCTGTATCTGTCGGAGAGTCATCCACACTCCCCCGCTGTATCTGTCGGAGAGTCATCCACTCTCCCCCGCTGTATCTGTCGGAGAGTCATCCACACTCCCCCACTGTATCTGTCGGAGAGTCATCCACACTCCCCCGCTGAATCTGTCTGAAAGTCATCCACACTCCCCCGCTGTATCTGTCTGAAAGTCATCCACACTCCCCCGCTGTATCTGTCTGAAAGTCATCCACACTCCGCCGCTGTATCTGTCTGAAAGTCATCCTCACTCCCCCGCTGTATCTGTCTGAAAGTCATCCACACTCCCCCGCTGTATCTGTCTGAAAGTCATCCACACTCCGCCGCTGTATCTGTCTGAAAGTCATCCTCACTCCCCCGCTGTATCTGTCTGAAAGTCATCCACACTCCCCCGCTGTATCTGTCGGAGAGTCATCCACGCTCCCCCGCTGTATCTGTCGAGAGTCATCCACACTCCCCCGCTGTATCTGTCTGAAAGTCATCCACACTCCCCCGCTGTATCTGTCGGAGAGTCATCCACACTCCCCCGCTGTATCTGTCGGAGAGTCATCCACACTCCCCCGCTGTATCTGTCTGAAAGTCATCCACACTCCCCCGCTGTATCTGTCTGAAAGTCATCCACACTCCCCCGCTGTATCTGTCGGAGAGTCATCCACTCTCCCCCGCTGTATCTGTCTGAAAGTCATCCACTCTCCCCCGCTGTATCTGTCTGAAAGTCATCCACACTCCCCCGCTGTATCTGTCTGAAAGTCATCCACACTCCCCCGCTGTATCTGTCTGAAAGTCATCCACTCTCCCCCGCTGTATCTGTCTGAAAGTCATCCACACTCCGCCGCTGTATCTGTCGGAGAGTCATCCACACTCCCCCGCTGTATCTGTCTGAAAGTCATCCACACTCCGCCGCTGTATCTGTCGGAGAGTCATCCACACTCCCCCGCTGTATCTGTCTGAAAGTCATCCACACTCTCCCGCTGTATCTGTCTGAAAGTCATCCACACTCCCCCGCTGTATCTGTCTGAAAGTCATCCACACTCCCCCGCTGTATCTGTCGGAGAGTCATCCACACTCCCCCGCTGTATCTGTCGGAGAGTCATCCACTCTCCCCCGCTGTATCTGTCTGAAAGTCATCCACACTCCCCCGCTGTATCTGTCGGAGAGTCATCCACTCTCCCCCGCTGTATCTGTCGGAGAGTCATCCACTCTCCCCCGCTGTATCTGTCTGAAAGTCATCCACACTCCCCCGCTGTATCTGTCTGAAAGTCATCCACACTCCCCCGCTGTATCTGTCGGAGAGTCATCCACTCTCCCCCGCTGTATCTGTCTGAAAGTCATCCACACTCCCTCGCTGTATCTGTCTGAAAGTCATCCACTCTCCCCCGCTGTATCTGTCTGAAAGTCATCCACACTCCCCCGCTGTATCTGTCTGAAAGTCATCCACACTCCCCCGCTGTATCTGTCTGAAAGTCATCCACTCTCCCCCGCTGTATCTGTCTGAAAGTCATCCACACTCCGCCGCTGTATCTGTCGGAGAGTCATCCACACTCCCCCGCTGTATCTGTCTGAAAGTCATCCACACTCCGCCGCTGTATCTGTCGGAGAGTCATCCACACTCCCCCGCTGTATCTGTCTGAAAGTCATCCACACTCTCCCGCTGTATCTGTCTGAAAGTCATCCACACTCCCCCGCTGTATCTGTCTGAAAGTCATCCACACTCCCCCGCTGTATCTGTCGGAGAGTCATCCACACTCCCCCGCTGTATCTGTCGGAGAGTCATCCACACTCCCCCGCTGTATCTGTCGGAGAGTCATCCACACTCCCCCGCTGAATCAGTCTGAAAGTCATCCACACTCCCCCGCTGTATCTGTCTGAAAGTCATCCACATTCCCCCGCTGTATCTGTCTGAAAGTCATCCACACTCTCCCGCTGTATCTGTCTGAAAGTCATCCACACTCTCCCGCTGTATCTGTCGGAAAGTCATCCACATTCCCCCGCTGAATCAGTCTGAAAGTCATCCACACTCCCCCGCTGTATCTGTCTGAAAGTCATCCACACTCTTAATGTAGTCTTAATGCATGCCCCCAAACGCCCTTACATAGCTTCGCGGGGACCCCATTATTTTGAATACCAATGCAATCACTGATATGTACATGTATTTCTGGGAATGTACAGTTAAATTCCGCTGTAAGCTGATTCTTCAGTAGAGTCATAATGTGTTGGATGGGTACAGTGAAGGGAGGGGCGGCAGTCTATAGATATACAACGTATGCATATATATATATGAAGTCACGTATGCAATGTTTTATTATATACATATGAATTAAATACTGGAATTTATTACTTGCAATTTATATATTTTTTCGAAAACAGTGTCTGATAAATTACTAAGCTCTCCCTGTCGCCCCTTTACCACCGCCGTATAAAGGGGGTTGGCGAAAAGAATATAGTTCGTGAATAAAACTAGCCCTGTTAATATATGTTATGCGAAATATATTATTTCATATCGAGTATTAAGTTCCGTGGATGTTTTTGTTTGTCATAATTAAACGTTCCTGTTTAAAATGAAAACAGAAATCATTTTCAAACAGCGATTATTTCATTGGCGTAGGAGTACATATAAGTAGTACTGTGACCATGTCGAACGATCAGCTGAGCGCTCTCCAGGCTTACAAAATCCGCCAAATTTGATCAAATTTTCTCACAGATAAGTATGAACGTTGACATAAACACATTTATAGAACCCCGAACATTTTAACTGAAACATTGTTGCTTGCTGTCATGAATTAAATTAGGAAAGTTCAATTGTCGGAAAATTCAAGCTGGTGTCAGAGAGTGGGATTTCCCCCCTGGTCTAAATTCCCCCCGGAAAAGGGGCTATATAGCCTAATTTCCCCCCGGAAAAAAGGCTTTATAGCTAAATTTCCCCCGGGGAAAAATGACTACATAGCCATATTTCCGCTTTAGAGTCAGATTTCCCCCTTAACACAAGGGGGAAGTATGTCTATATAGTAGTAATTTCCCCTATATCCCTCAGATTTTTCAATGCAGTATTAAAAAACATAACCTACTGCACCATTTAACAAACATTGATCAAACAGCAATGGCAAAAGCGAACTTCTTGCATGCCATATTTGACAGAGAAATTTGAGTTAAACGTGTCTCAATTGAAAACAAGCTTTTAGTGTTGAAAACATAGACGATTCCGACTTGCCACTTGTTATTCATGCCAGAGAACCTATTTATGAACTGTTGCTGGATACTAGTAAACACTTCACTGCTGAAGAGCAAGAGGTCCCAGGTTCGAACCCCGTTAGTGTTATTTAGAATCAAGCTTTATTACCCCCAGGGGAATTTGGATTATATTTGAAGTGAAAAGAGTATACATACACTCATTACGAACAATACAATTACAGACCAACACATATATCTGCACTCATACATAGCACTCCATGCAAACTTACATAACACTCCATGCATGCAAACATACACACAGAACATACATGCATAACATAAAGCAACAAAATATGCACTATTAAAGAAGATAAAATATGGATTAACACCAGCACAAAGGAATTAAACAATGATTAAGAGACAGGTTGACTTGGTTCATCATTTAAAAATAAAATACTAACGGGAACAAATGAAGATTTGGCTCTATTTGATTTAAAACAAGGTACACGATATGTTCTTCCAGATGGTAAAACGTCATACAAGGGTATAAAAAGTGATTTGGTTGGTATAAAATTCTGTTTGCAAGCTGTAGAACACGTTGATTGTAAAGAGAGTCCAGACTGTTGAATTTGCATCCTTGGATTTTTGCTAGCCACTGTAGTTATTTTATTTATTTAACCTAAGGGCTGACATTAGTACAGGTCCTAAAAGTGTTGTCGCAAGCATAGCCTGCAGTTCACAACCCTGTGCACTAAACAGAATCTGCTCATCAGTTGGTAAATGAACAGATGACGGAAACAGTACTCACGTATATATCTTCCACTGAAACACGAGTTGAAAAACTTGCGGCGTCACCTTTGGCAAGTGATCTTGTTCATGCATGCCTCTGTCCACAAACAGTAAATGGGTACCAAGGAGTTAATGTGGTAATGGTAATGTGAATGGGTAATCTTCTAGCGCCTGACAGGCAGCTTTGGTTGCATATTTCACATGTAGCTGGGAAGTTCTGGAATGCAAAATATACGGACCTCTGATCGGGGCAAGAAACGCCATGAGCACGCACAGATATATGCGCTATATACGTTGTAAATATACCTTATAATATACTTTGCAATGAGAGACTGAGGATTCTCGATGACAGAAAAGTGATATGTCACTGCAACCATGGTAAGGAGAACTACTGCCGTTCAAGTTTACAGTGCAGACCTGATAGAAATCAACTAGCAAAGTGTGTTTCAACTAGCAATGTGACGTATTGTTACTGAAGACAGTTGGAAGATTTTAGATTCGCTGATTTACCTCAAATACACAACAACAAAATAAAAAAATTAAAAAAACACATACCCTACTAAATAAATAATAATAAATAAAACATTTCATTTCGTCAGTGACAAAAGGCTGATCTGATCTGTCGAGTGACAGATCCGCCATATCTCACTGTCGAAATGAACTATCCTCTATTTATTAGAATTAAGAATGTATGGCGCAAAACAAAAACAAGATTTTAATCATGGTTTCTCTCGTAAATTACTCCATCAGCCAACTGTACATCTAGGTACTTTTGATAACAGACATATGTTTAATTATGGGGCAAATCTGACTCCAAAGCGGAAAATTGGCTATATAGTGTATTTTCCGGGTGGGAAATATGGCCATATATTGTGCTTTCCGTGGGAAGTATGGCTATATAGCCAGTTTCCCGGGGGAAATTTGGCTATATAGCCCCTTTTCCGGGGTAAAATAGGCTAGGGGGGGAATTCCACTCTCTGACACAGGCGCTTCTCGCCTCGGCGGTACGTCTCGCTGTCGCCAGTTGTGCCTAATGTCTGGCGAAGCATGTCCGGCGCAAGAGTGATATTAACATTGCCATAGATGTTATTTCCAGACATCAGACTCGTCAAAAAGTTCCTGTGGTCAGTTGAAGAGAAGTTATGCACCTGCGGTTGAGACTGAGTACAGTCGGCATCTGACGTAAACAAAGGGGGATAACTCTTTAATGTTTTGATTCAGGAGAAAGTAGTCCGGCACCTTGTTTATATCAGTGACTAGTGACTGATATAACTTTTTTTATATCAGTCACTAGTGATCAGTCACTGATAACTTGATCTACCGTCACTGATAAATTCCAGTATTTCATTCATATGTATATAATAAAAATAAAAGATGTATATAATAAATAGAAAATTCAATGACTGCGTCACTCGTGAAAATATTAGACTCTCCCCACTTCACTCGATGAGATAAAAGTGGTATTTGAGAAAACACATTAAATATCCTCTATATACCCATTAATATGTATCCTAAAGAATAAATATGTAAAACAGACAAGGTACCACTGTCAGCTGTTTCATAGCGAAGGAAGCGCCTGCCTGGAAGCCAGGGCACGTGACAATAAGATGGCGGTAGTCCGACTGGCTGGCTCCAGGTTCCGCGTGCTGTATTCAGCCCTCACATGTGTAGGTTGGAAACACAAAAAGAAACTCCTGCCAAAATGGTCACAGGGTTTGGAATGGCATTTTTCTGATGTGTGTGGGATGTTCAGTAACATTTGTCGTGCTTGTTTTGGTCAGTGACAGAAACCATGACTCAGACTCAAGTTCTGACTTGAAAGCTTAAAATATGATGCTACAAACATGAACAAAATTACCCTTATTGTCCTGTTGCTCGGAGCTCTCTATACTGTCTCTTCCCATGGTCACAGCTCCCCAGTTCTGCGAGGCGGCCACATCCATACAAGGAATGATTGAGTTGTAAGATAACATGTTAAGATAAGATATAACACTTCATTGTTCGTAAGGAAATTTGGGTTACATCAGCACTAGGTATCATACATTTTGTATCGTAAAACGTATTAAAAAACCTGGTACTAGCTGGTGTGAATGAATTTCCGGCCATGTTTCTTCTCAACATCCGCAATCGTAGTCGGCAGCCAAAGGAAGTTGCTACTCCGAATCACTCCAAACAAGCGATGACTGTCATGACGCCCTACTCTTCCCCCAGCTAAATATTTTGTTTGTTGGCAAGTCTGATTTCTATTTCATTCCAACTACTCCGTCTTAGTATAGTGAGAACTTTAGGGGAAAGCAAGGGGGGGGGGGGGCCGTTTATGTGTAACCTAGAACCTATCAGACTGAACAAACGTAAGACCCTTGAAGATCCGGGCTTCGGCAACCCATGCTTGCCATACAAGGCAACTATCCTTGTCGTAAGAGGCGACAAACAGGATCTGGTGGTCAGGCTCACTGACTTGGTTGATGCATGTCATCGTATCCCAATTGCATAGATTGATGCCCATGATGTCAATCACTGTATTGTCTGGTCAAGACTCGATTATCTACAGACCGCCGTCATAAATCTGAAATATTGCTGAGTGCAGCGTCAAACAACAAACAAACAAACCTGAAAATCAAACACTTCACATCAATGCATTATTCGATATCATTTAATCTCATCTAAGTTACGTTAATATTAATAATCTTTTAATAAAGATAGCCTGTGTTGGAAAAAGACTTCCCCAAGGTAATTTGAAAGTGTAACATCACATATCTGATTATTGGCATCTTGTAGTTGAACGCACACGGTTTGACCAAGGATGTTTTGTTTCTGGTTTGTTACAGAAGGACCCCAAGCTTCAGTGTAGCACCTCTAGTCCAATGGGTCAGTGTTGTTCCAAGGAGGTTGTCCACATTGAGAGGCTCAACGTGGCGGGACGTGTGCAAGGCGGCGTAGGACAAACCTACACTGCAGAACACATCACTGGCGGGATAGCAAACGAGGGGTCAGCTGAGCGTCCACACAATGACACTATTACAGTGGGGATAGGACTAAATGACAACCACACAGGAAACATTGGCAGTGTACCACGTGATTCGAGTGACATGGGAAACACAAACGGTATACCACGTGCTTCGAGTGACATGGGAAACACAAACAGTATACCACGTGCTACGGGTGACATAGGAAACACAAGCGGTATTCCACGTGCTACGGGTGGCATAGGAAACACAAGCGGTATACAACGTGCTACGGGTGACATGGGAAACACAAGCGGTATTCCACGTGCTACGGGTGGCATAGGAAACACAAGCGGTATACAACGTGCTACGGGTGACATGGGAAACACAAGCGGTATTCCACGTGCTACGGGTGACATAGGAAACACAAGCGGTTTATCATGTGCTAAGGGTGACATGGGAAACACAAGCGGCATTCCACGTGCAACGGGTGACATGGGAAACACAAACGGTATACCACGTGCTTCGAGTGACATGGGAAAAGAGAGCGGTATACAACGTGCTACGGGTGACATAGGAAACACAAGCGGTTTATCACGTGCTACGGGTGACATGGGAAACACAAGCGGCATTCCACGTGCTACGGGTGACATTGGAAACACAAACGGTATACCACGTGCTACGGGTGACATTGGAAAAGAGAGCGGTAAACCACGTGCTTCAAGTGACATGGGAAACACGAACGGTACATCACGTGCTACGGGTGACATGGGAAACACGAGCGGTATATCACGTGCTACGGGTGACATGGAAAACACGAGCGGTATATCACGTGCTACGGGTGACATGGAAAACACGAGCGGTATATCACGTGCTACGGGTGACATGGAAAACACGAGCGGTACATCACGTGCTACGGGTGACACGGGAAACACAAACGGTATATCACGTGCTACGGGTGACACAGGAAACACAAGCACCACAACACACGCATCAGGTGAACTGGGACACAAGGTGTCAGCAGGGGACATAAGACCCCCTGACACTCCAGGAGACAGCTGGACCAGAAACTCAACAGTGCATGATCCTGTGGTAGGAGGGGGTGTGTCATTCCAGGATATTGACGAGCTCAACCTTTACGTGGCATATGCTGTAGGTGGTGAGAAGAAAGTGCAGTGTCTTCCCTTAGAGGAAATAGTTGACATCAACAGGAGAGACGACATCGGGAAAACACCCCTGATTGTGGCCGCGTGGAAGGGTCGTCTGGGGGTGTTTGGCCTGCTTGTGAGTAGAGGTGCTGACGCATCAGTCCAAGACGCTAATTCGAACAACATCCTCCACTGGGCGTCTCACGGGGGCAATGTGGACATGGTACAGTATGTCATCTCTAGACGTCTTGTTGACATCAACAGTCGCGGGAACCACGGGTATTCGCCCGTGATGATGGCGGCAGAACGCGGACACAAGGAAGTGGTCGCCTTACTGGCACAGAAAGGATGTGACATGTCGCATGTGACCAATGGCGGTAACAATATCCTTCACGTGACCTGTACTGGAGGTTATGTGACGATGGTAAAGTGTCTCCTGTTGATGAATATTGTTGACATCAACAGCAGAGGGGCGAACGAGAGAACGGCGACGATGATGGCCGTATTGAAGGGACATAGCGCTGTGTTTGAGCTTCTTGTAAGTGAAGGCAGCGATTTGTCACCCGTGAGTAGCAACAACAACAACATCCTTCACGAGGCCTGTGTGGGTGGAGACGTGAGCATTGTCAACTACATCATCTCCAAAGGTGTCGTTGCTATCAACAGTAGAGGTAAGTACGACAGGACGCCAGTGATGGTTGCAGCGGAGTTTGGACATACTAATGTACTCGAGCTACTTGTGAGGGAAGGCGGTGACGTGAACGTCAGGTCGTCTGAAGGCAACACCATCCTCCATGCAGCGTGTCTGGGAGGACACGTCAGTATGGTGTGCCACGTTCTCTCGACGACACGCGTCAACGTCAACGCCAGAGGTAAGAAAGGGCGGAGCCCTTTGATGTTGGCGGCATGGATGGGGCACCAAGAGGTGTTTGAACTCCTTGTGAGTGTGGGTAGTGACGTGTCACTTGTTGATGATGGAGGTAACAACATTCTCCATGTGGCTTGTCGTGGAGGAAATGCGGACATGGTGGCGTATCTCCTGTCGAAAGACGTTGCAGACATGGACGCGATGGACAATCAAGGACTAACAGCAGTTATGATAGCTAAAGAGAAAAAGCACAAAGCTGTTGTGGGAGTACTGTCGTCCAAGCTCAAGATGCCAAGTGATTAAACACATTTAGACAAACTCAGAGTGATATGCATAATACGTTAACCTTATGGGCAATCATACAATCAATATGAAGTCGTTTGGAATTTTACTCTGCGGAGGAAATACTTAATTTATATCACGACGTGTCGGCTTGGGGAGAGAGCCGGAAGTTATTCACTTTGGCAAAACCCAGAAGTTCGGGCATATTGTTGTTAAACCAAGAAACACAATAACAGCGAAAACGAGACTAGGACTCGAGCCACGATCACGGGATTAAGGCGGCAGCTTGGGCGGCTCTCTCACAAATGTGGAAACTCTACTGCTGGTGATGAATGTGAGTGAATGGTGATTTAGGACACTGTCTGCCTGTAGAGTCTGGCTGACTTTGTGTAGACTTGTTCCCTGTATTATTGCTAACTCACCCACATGTGGTCCAGGTGCAGATGTCCGCCGTGAAGTGTAGATGTTGTTTGTAGTCAATAAAGGTCGCATTTTTTTGTGTATTTTATTGTTGAAAAATGATTGTGCCTGTGTGCGCTCATTGCATTGCATTTGGACAGTGATCAGTTGTCAGGAATGTAGTACTGTTTAATGTAAACTGTTTTTGGAAGTTATTATATTTAGATGCAAGGGTGGTATGTAAACGTCCGGTATACCGTGGACTGATGTAGAATATTCTGTAATGTTCTAGTGCCGCTAGACTGGTAAGGGCACTGTGTAGAAATTTCAGTTATGTTAGACGGTATGTAAGGGGACAAGAGCAGCCTCTTGTATCTCTCACACATTTTCATCTAAGAATACATCAAGGCCAGCTTTCGTGTGAAGATCACATCCTATTTCCTGCCTAGGCCCATCTCGGAACATTAATCACAATCGCTGCTGGGTGAAATGCTATCATCACTGACTTTTGCTATCACCACTGCCATCATATATTTTGCCATTGAATATTGTACTACCATTCGATTGTGTACTGCCATTATAATTGTTGGGCAGTAGTTTGTGTTGATTTGTAAACTTAGTTAATTTTGTATTACATTTGCTGATTGTATACCACTTGTTGGTTGTTTGTTGGTTTCACACTAAACTCTTTTTTTTAACTTATTGTTTCAATTTGGGAATCGACACGTAACATAAGAACTTGCGGATAAATACTAGTATACATGTTAGTCACTGAAATGCACGACACGGGGCTGACTTACGTTTGCTATTAATCCACGAGTCCATATACGTTAAATTAATGTTTGCTTTTTAGAGACTTTGGAGAGGTGTTCCCGAACATTGGCGTTAAACAATCGGCTGGGATTAGACCAGTGTATGCGAACGTCGCAAGTGCGACTTTCATACATTTGGGGCTCGTCTCTATATATGTCTCAAACAATGTCGATGAAACGTTTGATTTGAACTCATTGACTCATATACTGTCTATATGAAGATTCATATTCCAAATAACTGGCACAAAATGAAAATCAGTTCTTACTTATACTGAATCCGTGGCGTCGATCGCCTCTTCTACAGAACCAGCAGTGGGGTATCTAGGATTCCAAACCAAGTGCCTAGGCAGGCGAACTGAGAAAGACTCAAAATTTCTTTCACAATTTGGTATTTTAGAAAAGGTTTTCTCAAATTAGGATGTATGTTAACATTGCGTCCAATGCAGTAGTGTAATACTCAGCACTATCATTGGTCCTGTTGTTAGTGATACACGTCACCGCTACAAAAGCATGACATCGGTTATCATTGGTTATAATTATAACCACGTGACCATACGTCATACTCCCTGATCATAGTAGATTATATACAATATCCGGGATTCGCACCCGGAAACAGCACATCCTGGCAGTAGAATCACCTCCGATAGCGCCTTAATCGACTGGGCTGCATGTGACTCATGACTTTATACGACAAATGTTAATTCTATTTAGTAATGTTATGTGCTAGAATGTTAACCCGTCAAAGGCATCGCGATGCAGAGTTGCGTCCCTTGGGCACGCAAGAAGCCTATGGTCGTGGGTTCGAATCCCGGTTCGCCCAAATAATGTTTCTAGGTTTGTCAGCACCATACCCGTGCTCCTGGGTTTCACCGAAGTGGTAAACGTCTGAGACCTGCATCACGTCGGGCTTTCCTCCCACATTAAGCGGACACGCAGTGGTATAACTGGAATACTGTTCAAAGTGGCGTTAAACCCAACTTACTCACTCACACACACACTCAAGTCTAAAGACATTTTACTGATCCAGACGTTAATGTATATGTCAGGATGTAGACGCGCGGAACGCGAGGAGCAACTATATTTTTAAATATATGATTGATTTAAAACATTAAAAAACTGAAGAGAAGCAGTTCATTGTATACAGGTAACTGCGAACAGACAGACATCTTACGCATGAAAATAAGTCAATTTGCCTTTTTTCGGCACAAATTTACATGTTAAACATGGTAGGGGTCATGTGGTTGCAAATTTATTTCTTACGCCAGTTTTCATTGATCCAATTTATTTATACACAAAAATACACAGCCACAGATTACTTTTCACAAACGAGTGAGTGATGGTTAAATAAACGCAATCGCATTCACAACAGTTCATTCAATGTTCAATGACATGAAACTCAAACTCGGTCCACTTCCTTTTGCCCCTCAGTTGATATTTCCCAAGTAACCCGCGCACTTTTTAAACGTATATGTTATTAAGTCCTACCTTTACTAAATTTACTATATTTAAATATTATAATCAACTTATATTTATATTAAAGTCAGAAATTGTACAGGTCCTATTAGCAGGCACACTTTAAAAAATATAGAAACGTAAACATGTATTTAACTCATGAACATTATGTTAGCTATGAATATTAACATGTCGATACACATAATACTGTTTTGTACAGGATTCTAACAGTATCCTTCCCTTGTGTTTGATATGTGTTTATTGTTTTATTGCATCTCATAAGCCTCATGGCGTTACTTTTTGTATATATATACAGCTTCTGTAACGCGTGCCACAAAAATAAATTATCTCTTCCCCCCCTCCCCACCCCGGAGGCAACTAAGTGGATTGGGTGGTCAGTTTAGGTCACTTGGCTGACTGCATGTCATCGTATCCCAGCTGCGAGGATTCATGATCACCGGATTGTCTGGTCATGACTCGATTATGTACATATAGCTGGAGTTTTGCTGAGTACTGCGGCGTAAAACAACAACAACAACAACAAAGATAAAAAATATACTGTATGTATATATTATGGACAAGACGTTCTTGAGGAGCCTCTTACTTATACTTTCTTGACTTCATAACAAAATATTACAAATCAGGTAAAAACATGGTGCGCTTTGACCAGAGTGAGTGAGTGCACGATACTAATTTATCTGAATCAGTAATATTATAAAAACATTATAAATATAATGTTACTTATCAATTTAATAAAATACCTTTAAACTTTATATCGAAATTATGGTAGTATATAATTATGATTGACTGAATTTATATATTTCAAAAGTGTATTTATTTATTTATTTATTTATTTATTTATTCATCCATCCATCCATCCATTCATTCATTCATTCATTCATTCATTCATTCATTCATTCATTCATTCATTTATTTATTGTTTGTTTGTTTGGAGGGGAACAGATTACTTCAAGAAAGATCACAGATAGGCCATACTCAGAATATCAAATGTCTGGCCCTTCTAGACAGAACCGGTTGAGAGAACAACCCCACCGGTAGGTTTTCTACCCCAGCAAGTCATTTCAAAGCCAACCTCGGAAGTACTCACAAAAGTAACGCGTCGTGCAAACTCGCGTGTGTTCGCCCGTTTGTCATTCGGATTATATCGGCATTTGGTTGTATTTCTAAGTATCACGCATGGATCCGAAGCAGATTGAAAAATTGCACATAGCAGTACTGGCTGCGAATGCTTTGTGAGGTTTAGCACGTGCATAAAATGCTCCTAATCCTGTAGTGAAGATTTGTGTGGTCTATTTGTCCTCTTTCAGTGTCATGGTCGCGGAAACAGAGATCATTCTACGTCGTTCCGATTATCCGATTGCGCCGAGGTACTTCCGGAAACTTGTTACCACCTCTTTCCACGATAATGGGCTGAGGTCAGCTAAACTTCAACGTCGAAGAAAGGTGGTGCAAAGAAGAAGATAGAGTGTCCCATTTCACTGATTGCCTGGGCTGTTGTGGGTAAATATGCATAACTGACCAATATCATCTTTGTAATAGACGACTCGAGGTCGGCAATAGCCTTGTGTTGTCTGGGCATGCATTAACATTTTTGTCTGCGTTGAAAGAAATGTTCAGTTTTCGATCACTTGCCAGCGCAGGCGGAGCACGGTTAGATTAAAATGAGAACAGGGATATTCCATCTGCAGAAGTACACTTATATAGTGATTCTGTTATATTTTTGTGTGTTTAAGGAAAATCATGTTGCACACACATTCGTTGGTGATTTTCGTGGGATTTTTAGGTAAGCCTTGTTGGTTCAAACTTGTATCTCGCAAGCTCCAACGTTCATACAGTTAATATATATATCCTTCGATTGACGATTGAGGCATACTCTGATTGACTCCTAGCTAAGAAATATTTTACATTTTCACTAGTACGCAAATTTGATCTGCCACAGAGCGACTCTGTCTGATGATAAATTGATAGACAGGTGAATATCTCACTAGACCTCCCCATTGGCATTAGTAGTCTCACACTAGTGACTTCTGTTGCATTTGATTGACTGACATATTCATGGCTTGATTTGGCTAGATCTATACAACATGTAGAAAACAAGTATAAAACATGCACCAGTGCAATCTATTATTGAAAAATGTGACCTAATATTTACAGAGCGGTTTCTATCTGATACTACAAGGAAGTGTTATTCAGCCTTTTTGAATTTTGCTTATCTTGGACGAGCAGACTGATGTTAATTTTAAACCCTTACTCGAAATAGGTGCATCACTTTGCACTTTCCTTCCACTTTAAGCTGAGGAGCCCCACATATATAAATATATATCCCTACATGGGTACAATGTGTGAAACCAATTTCTGGTGTCCCTCTGCCGGCATATTGCTGGAATATTGCTAAAATGGGCGAAAAGCCGTATTCACTCACTCACTCACTATTTATATAATACAGACCAGTGACGATCCGGTGTAGAATAGGTCTTCAGCAACCCATGCTTGCGGTGATAGGTGACCGTGGTGACAATGCATGTTGTATGAGGCGACTAACAAGATTGTCTGGTCCAGACTCCATTATTTACAGACTGCTGGAATATCGTGAGTGACCCGTTCAACAACAAACAAACAACAGATAGTCACATCCACAAGTTTTGTTGTCTGAGACATCTCATTTCATGTGTTTTGTCATGTTTATTTCTGAGAAGGTTCATTTGTTACTGACTTCACATAATGATCATTGGGATCTCCAATATGGTTTAATAGATGGAATGTCTGCCCAGAAAGTGGATGGTCGGTGGTTCGATACTCAGGCGTGTCATACCAATACAGAGCTCCAGATAAGCTGCGTATCTGCGTAAAATACGCATCAGAAATGCAGAAATAGGCAGTAAAATAAATAACAAGCGTATCAAATAGTATACGCAACGAACATTACAGATATGCTACAAAAATAAAACTATCATCAAAATATTGTGAAGTCACCCTGCGTATTCGATGAGCAAATCAGCAACTTATTTTGAAATTATAAACAGGCATTCCCTCAACCTTGCCAAACTCCAAGATGACAGTTACATCATGATCATTTGCCATCACACTTTCTTGTGGAAGTATCGTTTTATTTTTTAATCCTATAAAGCTCTCGAACCCACACAACACCAGTTTGCAGAGACTAGATGAATAGTGTTTTTAAATATTCAACTTAAATACCCACATGTGTAAAAACTAGTGGGTAACAGAAATTTGAATACCCAGATAGAATTACTGATACCCAATGATTTTAAAATGCATGGGTAAAATGCCCACAACACCAAAAGCTTATCTGGAGCTCTGCCAATAGGCGTTATAAGATGTTACTTTTTGCTTACCTGTCTTGGGCTCGGCATTAAAGGGATAAAGCAAGGACTCAGCTCTGAGTCGGTATACTGTGTCTGAGTGAGGTATACATGTTAAACTGTGGCATGGTATCTCATTGGGTTAGCACTATATAACCAGCACAAGTCCGTACCAGTAAAAGCAGCCAGGCACACACATCAGGGTTAGAAATTAACACTAGCCTGCTAGCCCGAGGCTAGTACAAATTCATTCGGGCTAGTACAAATTTCCCCATTGTTTTAACATTACAAAGTCATTTTATCTTTACCAGGGCTAGTAAAGCTTTTGAGTTAAGTTCTAACCCTGCACATGTGCATACATATTTCAGTGAAAGCGCAAAATTCTAAACACAGCGTTAAACCCTATCTCGCCTCACCTACTGACAGAGTACACACAGGACAACCCTATCTCACCTCACCTACTGACAGTACACACAGGACAACACTATCTCACCTCACCTACTGACAGAGTACACACAGGACAACCCTATCTCGCCTCACCTACTGACAGAGTACACACAGGACAACCCTATCTCACCTCACCTACTGACAGTACACACAGGACAACACTATCTCACCTCACCTACTGACAGAGTACACACAGGACAACCCTATCTCACCTCACCTACTGACAGAGTACACACAGGACAACCCTATCTCACCTCACCTACTGACAGTACACACAGGACAACACTATCTCACCTCACCTACTGACAGAGTACACACAGGACAACCCTATCTCACCTCACCTACTGACAGAGTACACACAGGACAACCCTATCTCACCTCACCTACTGACAGTACACACAGGACAACACTATCTCACCTCACCTACTGACAGTACACACAGGACAACACTATCTCACCTCACCTACTGACAGAGTACACACAGGACAACCCTATCTCACCTCACCTACTGACAGAGTACACACAGGACAACCCTATCTCACCTCGCCTACTGACAGAGTACACACAGGACAACCCTATCTCACCTCACCTACTGACAGAGTACACACAGGACAACACTATCTCACCTCACCTACTGACAGAGTACACACAGGACAACCCTATCTCACCTCGCCTACTGACAGAGTACACACAGGACAACCCTATCTCACCTCACCTACTGACAGAGTACACACAGGACAACCCTATCTCACCTCACCTACTGACAGAGTACACACAGGACAACCCTATCTCACCTCACCTACTGACAGAGTACACACAGGACAACCCTATCTCACCTCACCTACTGACAGAGTACACACAGGACAACCCTATCTCACCTCACCTACTGACAGAGTACACACAGGACAACCCTATCTCACCTCGCCTACTGACAGAGTACACACAGGACAACCCTATCTCACCTCACTTACTGACAGAGTACCCACAGGACAACCCTATCTCACCTCACCTACTGACAGAGTACACACAGGACAACCCTATCTCACCTCACCTACTGACAGTACACACAGGACAACACTATCTCACCTCACCTACTGACAGAGTACACACAGGACAACACTATCTCACCTCACCTACTGACAGAGTACACACAGGACAACCCTATCTCACCTCACCTACTGACAGAGTACACACAGGACAACCCTATCTCACCTCACCTACTGACAGTACACACAGGACAACACTATCTCACCTCCCCTACTGACAGAGTACACACAGGACAACCCTATCTCACCCCACCTGCTGACAGAGTACACACAGGACCACAAAGTGAGCTTGCTCTGTCAGTTATTTCATTATAAGCGTGTTCGTTATATCCATCAATTTTATGTGTTAAAATTTACAGCAAATGGCCGGGACCAAACTGTTTGTTATAAGCGTCAGTTTGTTATAAGTGTATCGGTTATTAACATAGTTTACTGTATGTATGATATGATCAGGTACATATGCCATTCGCAGGAATTTGTAAAGTTGCAAATCAAACACGTCCTGATGGTTGATAGTTCATTGCATGTACAAGAAAATTTAACAAGTTAACAAAATGACAACTTAACCATGATTAATAACTAGTCCTGGGACGGTGCGCCAACTGTGCGATCCAATACGTATCACGATATCTTACTTACAGTCCAATACGTATCACGATATCTTACTTACAGTCCAATATGTATCATGATACTTGCAGGTGCCCTTATCTGTGGTCCCTTAGCCGTCCCAAGTACTTGATGTACAGTCGGCAGTGTCAAGTAGGGCACAATGGATGAAAATAGTTATGTTTTCACTACAAACTTTCATTACTAATTAGTGTTTAGTTTAACAGTTATTAAAGCAAACATTTACGGTAAGAATCAATACGTTTTACTTAGTATGCGACTGTGGTTGATACTTATGCTTATACTGAGAAGTAAATTATCGCGATGCATTGGTGCATCGTCCCAGCACTATTTTGATTTTGATCAGAGCAACGTTCCTAATGTTCCTGAGACACCTGATCTTGTTTCACCTTTGTATTTACCCTATATTTACCCTGTATATACTCACTGCCAAAAGAAACGCAATTACCATACATGTTGGTTAATATATAAAGACTGACTAACATTCAAGAGTTATAATGTGGGCACGGGTGGCCCAGTCGTCTGAGGCGACGCGATTCGCTGTGCAGAGTTGCGTCCCTTGGGCACGCCAGAAACCTATGATTGTGGGTTCGAATCCCGGTTCGCCGCGATTATGTTTCTAGGTTTGTCAGCACATACCTGTGCTCGTGGGTTTCACCGAAGTGGTAAACGTCTGAGACCTGCATCACTTCGGGCTTTCCTCCCACATTAAGCTGACACGCCGTGATATAACTGGAATACTGTTAATAGCGGCATTAAACCCAATTCACTCACTCAAGAGATATAAGATTGGTTTGAAGCAGAAACAATCATAGAGCTATGTTGTGTGAACCCGATCCTCATGAACGCATCACACGTGACATAGATCCATCACTCGAGGTGCACCATTTGTCTCAAGCATGATTAGCGTGTAAAAATTGGAAATAAGTAAAATATTATAGTCACTCTGTGTGTTTTGTCATTAAGTGGTACACATTGGACACATCTCTTCTTAACGTACTTGTGTTTCACCTGTGTATTCACCTGTGTATTCAACTGTGTTTTCTCCGTGCAGGTGACAAGAGTCGAGGATGGACCACAGCGCTGCCAGCATCCCCGAGTCTGTCATCTCCCAGACCAGTGAGGCTTGCTCCAGCGTGGGTGAAGATCGGTTTGTCGACCAGGATCGAGCACCAAGTCTCCTCATCGGATTCTCCAAACTCTACAAGAACAAGGAGTTTGTGGATGTGATCCTATGTGTCGGGATGCAGGAGTTTCCCTGCCACAAGAACGTCCTCGCAGTCTCCAGCCCCTTCTTCATGGCGATGTTCTCAAACAACATGGCCGAAAGCCACCAGGAGAAGATAACTCTGAAGGACATGGAGTGCCAGACGCTCGCCCTCGTCTTAGACTATATTTACACAGGACAGGTTGTGTTGACAGAGGAATCTGTTCAGAATCTACTCTCCGCGTCCAATCTTTTTCAGTTGATATCTTTACGCGATGGCTGTGCTGAGTTCATGATGAATCACGTCACAGTCACAAACTGTATCGGGGTGTATTTTTTTGCCAAATGTCATGAATGTGGTGTCCTTGCAATGAAAGCCAAAGAAATAATTAATAATAAGTTTTCCACGTTGTGCAAACAGCAAGAGTTTCTCTCCCTCCCTGCGGACAAACTCGTGGAAATCATCAGCGATGATGACATTAACGTGACGACGGAGGAGACGGTGTACGAGGCGTGCATGGAGTGGTTGCAGCACGACACCGACGGCAGGCTGTTGCACCTCGTCGACATCATGAACTGCGTACGTTTTGCCAACATCAGCTCCTATTACTTCTGTGATCGAATCGACACGTGTTCGTTGTTGTTGGAGAGAGAGGAGCTACGCAAGACACTGGACATGATTAGGTATTACCACATGTTGAAAAATCGGCAACAAGAAATGGACTTGAGTTTGATGCCCCGTCGGGGAATGGCGTACGAGAGAGGTGTCATGATCATTGCAAACCCTTATACAGAAGACGCTCTCAAGAAATACAACAGTATGGAACTATTGATGCCTAAGACAGGGGAGGTAATCCATATCTGCAAACTGCCACAGAGCCTCTACACACCAGGTAAGCAGAATTCATGTGTAACAGTTAGGCCTGGTACAATGCACCGACTGTGTGATCCGATATGCATCACGATACCTTGGTCACGATCCGATATGCATCACGATACCTTGGTCACGATCCGATATGCATCACGATACCTTGGTCACGATCCGATATGCATCACGATACCTTGGTCACGATCCGATATGCATCACGATACCTTGGTCACGATCTGATATGTATGTAGGCCATGTCGTGTGTAGGCCATCTTATTTATGGCCAGGATGGCCAAATACCTGCCACACTGACGATTTACAGTTGGCAGTGTCAAGTATGGCACAATGGATGAAAATATTTAAGTTTTCACTACTAATTAGTGTTTGGTGTAACAGTTATATAAGAAAACATCTTAAGTAAGAATGAATATTTTTTACTGGTTTTGCTGTGATCAATACTTGTGTCAAGAAGGAAATAATCGCGACCCATCGAGGTATCGTTTCACTACTAGTAACAAAACTGAAGCACTTCAAAAACGCATACTGGATTTTGACTCTATAGCAAGTGACTGGAAGCTTTGGTCCAGATGTGACAATGTGAGTGAGGGTTCAAACTCGGACAACATTATTACAGTGTTGCTTGCCTTCAGTCCTCACTACAACATCCCAATGTCTCTGTCTCTGTTCGCTGAAAACATTTTCCAAATTCACCTGCGTTTTCATAACTGTTGTCTTTGCATGGCTGACTGTCTGATGTAGTTTGGCGTAGTTTGGTGTTCGTGGTTACAGAGTTTTCAAATAGAACTCATTGTCTGGTTTCAAAATTCTTATTGAATAAAAAATTGGAAAACACAACTGAATGGGAAGAGTGCTGCTACAGTCTCACACATGAAGGGGAAAGATGCTGTCTGTATCATTATCAGCTGATTAACTGAACATAGGTTAGATAATTCCTTTTTCCCTTTAAGGGGGCACGGGTGCAGAGTTGCGTCCCTTGGTCATGCCAGAAACCTATGAATGCTAGTTCAAATTTTTATTGCCCCGATGATGTTTCTAGGTTTGTCAGCACTGTGCCCGTGCTTATGGGTTTCACCAAAGTGGTAAATGTCTATGTCCTGCATCATTTCGTCTCTCTGCCCACATCATCATGATCATAGCAGTGTTAAATCCAGCTCATTCCCTCACACTCTCACCTTTGATGTCTATAGTTAGGTAGCAGATTGTGTTGAACCAGACAATCTGTAGCCTGTTTTTCCCTGCCTGTAGAAATACAGGAGGTAAATTAAACAAATTTTAAGAACAGTTTAAAAAACACTATTTGTTGTGCCTCTTCTCACATATGCCATTGTTTAGTAAATTGCTATATAATTGTTACCATGTTTACAGGTTGTGCTATATCCGGAGACAACCAGATTTTCCTGGCAGGCGGGGCGATCAGGAAGATCAACTACCGGGGGTCGATCACCACAGAGGGCGTGTCCAACAACCTGTACATGTTCGACCAGATTGAGGGGGCATGGCAGACCAAGGCAAAGATGCACATGTCTCGTTCCCAGTTCTCTCTCACAGTCGTTGATGGGTGAGTTTATAACCACACATGTACAGCTCGTGGGACCGACCATTAAGTATTAGAGGGGGGGCAGCTTTAGATTTTATTCAGATTTAGGAAACCTTCAAACAACGTTAACACATACAGTGTTTGTTTTGCAAATGGAAGAGCATTTTTCACAACAAGGTTTGTCTAGACAAATAATTTTTCCCAAAGGTACAGTAAATGTGCAGTGATAAACCTAGGATTTTTTATAGTGGGCCCTAGATCCCACAGACCTTGACAATAGAGGGCCTGCCATGAATATTGTGGGTATGTAGTAATGTGATGCCCGTAAACATAAAAAAAGAACAGATGAAGCTGAGCTGCAAAATGTATTTGTTCAAAAGGAAACTTTTGTGCGTCTATGTGCTTTACTGCAGCATTTATAAGATTAAATTAATAAAGTTAATTCAGTACTTTCATAAAATTGCAAAATTTCAAAGCACCCTGCAACCCGGCAGGTCTTCTACTCACCTGTTGTGGCAAAAAACAAGACAACATTGTACATATAAGACATAATATCACTGTGTCATGAACAATTATTAAGGCAGGATGCTGAAACACTGATCGAAAACAGGACAATGGTATTGTTACTCAGAATGAGACGATATTTTATGAGAACATTTCATTGGTCTTTAGAAAGTCTGTTAGTCAATCAGAAAATGTATTTGAGATCTGGAAGTGAACTCAAAACTCGGAATCAGTTTTTAATGTTTAAAACGATTTTGGCTTCACCCGTACATAATGCGCATGGAAAGGAACAGGTTTTTTAGAAGCAGAAAATACCTCTGAATTTAAGAAAATATGAATTCAGAACAAAAATCATGATTTTGAACAAACAAAATATTTTTTCCCGATTCTTTTTTAACCTGCCAAGGACGTTTAGTTTGAAATACCAGACTCCTTGTTCCATGTCCCAGGTTCGCCTTTGCTGTCGGAGGCCAGGATGGTGCGGAGATACTGAGCAGCGTGGAGCGCTACGACCCCCACACCAACACGTGGATGTTGGTGGCCCCGCTCCCACAACCCCTGCGCTTCACCACCTCACTCAGCTACCGCGGCAAGCTGTACGTGTTCGGCGGAGAAAACACCTCGGAGATCAGCAGCAGTGCATACAGGTCACTATCTATTTGTACCTTGGTTTGTTGTCACTGACAAATTCTCCCTCAGATTAACAGGTTTTCATGCAAAATGACGTCGGTCATACAGATACTTTTGTCTTATTTCTTTGGTTGTGAAAGATCTCGATATGGGTGAAATAATGCCAATGCAACGTTCAATTTTTAGTCACTCATTGCGAAACTCATAACTGATGCGGGGGCATGGGTCACCCAGCTGTCGTAGGTGCTGCAGAGTTGTGTCCCTTGGGCACACTGGAAACCTATGGTTCTAATCCAGGTTATGTTTCCAGGTTAGTCAGCACCATGCCTGTGCTCGTGGGTTTCACCAAAGTGGTACCCATCTGAGACATGCATCACTTTGGGCTTTCCTCCCATATTTAGATAACACCCCGTGGTATAACTGGAATCTTGTTCAAACAGTGTAAATGTTGAAAGTCACGGGAATTAGCTTGTTGCGCTGGTTGCTTTTTTCCACATTATATTTACTTCTGTTAATTAACGCATCTCACAGATTTATATTACAGGGCTAGAAATAAGTGTTAATTGTAACATATTTCCTTTCAGCTGTATTGATCCACAATTTATATATTTCCCTAAATCCTGCACGTTTGGTAGATACTGACAGCCATGATGTGGCACATTAAAAAGCTTTGAATGTCTTCTGCCTCCAGTGTTGGTGATGGTGCCGGTCCAGACATGACATTTATGATCAGTCATTTTTTAGTGTAGCCTTTTCAGTTAGTGGAAGCAAAATCCGATCTGTAAAAAGAAGTTGAATAACAAGCAAGATGAGAGCTACTATAAAAAAAGCTCTTGATCTTCCATGAAATCAAATATATGTTCTGTCGTAGATATGATCCCGCGGAGGACGCCTGGGTGGAGTTACCTCCCATGAAGAAGCCGCGCGTGCTGGCTGGCAGTGTGGTGTACAAGGAGAAGATCTACGTCATCGGTGGGTACACAGCTGAGGTTGATGGGTGGTGTTAGGGTTGGGTCTTGCTTTGATGTAGAGGGTTGATGTTGATGTTGATGTAGAGGGTTGATGTTGATGTTGATGTAGAGGGTTGATGGTTGATGTTGATGTAGAGGGTTGATGGTTGATGTTGATGTAGAGGGTTGATGGTTGATGGTTGATGTTGATGTTGTTGATTTTGAATGTTTCTTCCACAGTTTGGATGTGAATTGAGAGTTGATGTTGAGAGTCGATGTTGAGTGTTGATGTTTGGAGTTAAAATTGATGTTGATTTTGATGACACAGGGCTCATTTAGCTATATAAAATATGCACAAGTGCAACCGAAAAATGCAACCTATGGCTAAATTTATTTTTTTAAAATAGTGTTGGTTCTCAGGCACAGCCACATCATCACAAAGTCACAAATCCTTAAATATTCCGCGTCTCGAACACACGACCCTGGCAGTAAAAACAATGTGAACCAGTATAGCACACAGTTACCTCCCTTTGCACGCACACTGCTTTACTGCTCATCTCGTGTTATGGTCATGGCGGCAATAGGAGTCAATGACAACATGAAATTTACGATAAAACATCACCAGACATGATGATTTACAAATTCAATGGTATTTGTGTACTGTCTGACAATGTTTCATATAGCAATCAGCTGTTTACACATTTTCTCCCCGATCTATGGGAGTTTTAGTTAAAGAATACTTAATGTCATGGCCAATATCTTAACTGAAAAGAAAATTCATAGGAACAGGAAGACTGAAGATTGGTATCTCTAACGACTAATGTTTGTTTCAGGGCGAGTTTATGGTGAGTTGATGTGATTTGCCGATCAGATCATACACGATATCGCCCGAAATTAATTGATCAAAATCGAATGAAATCTTGTAGAAAAGTAATATGATGGATTACAAACGTAAGTCCAGATACACAATGAACACTTGTATAGCCAGATAGTGAAATAACAGGAGTAACTTGCATACTTCGGTACAGATTTGTTGACTTGCTTCTTCTGGTGTTGAGTGCTCACGATGACGTTTTTGCTTTGTGAAATAAAAAGGAAGCTCACTGTATGTGTGTATTGTGCACACTCTGCTAGTACAACGGCAGCCAAATACTGTTTTCCCGTATTTTACTCATCATGGAATACATTTATGTAGGGAGGCCCTTTCCCAGGTTGATTGTATACAACTGTTTGTTTGGTTACTTTCTAGTTTGAACAACCGAAATTGAAAAAAAAAAATGGCTGCCAGCCTGCACTATATTTTCAAAAGGCATTGTCTGAGAACCAAATTATTTTTTTTTAAGCCTTATATGTATGTCTCCTTGCACCAAGTACATGTAAAAAAATTCAAGTTTGTCTCTGACTAACCCTTACTCACTGTTACTAGGCCCACACAAAGTTTATCTTTGATACTCAATAGATCAACAGTATACTTACCATGCTACATCACTAATCCCTGTTACGTGTAACTTGCCATGCTTTCTTAGGCTCTCTTAGTTTCTTAGTTCCTCTTACATTTTACAGCAATGTATTGGGGGCACGGGTGGCCCAGTCGTCTACCGCGCCGCAATTCGCTGTGCAGAGTTGCGTCCCTTGGGCACGCCAGAAACCTATGATTGTGGGTTCGAATCCCGGTTTGCCCCGATTATGTTTCTAGGTTTGTCAGCACTATACCCATGCTCGTTGGTTTCACCGATGTGGTAAATGTCCGAGAACTGCATCACTTCGGGCTTTCCTCCCACATTTAGCTGACACGCCGCAATATGACTGGAATACTGTTAAAAGCGGCGTTAAACCCAACTCACTCACACAGCAATGCATCATTAATTTATGGGACACTGGCAGCAAGCTGGCCTGTGTCAGCTTGGATAACTGTATGGGACCAGGGTGCAACCTGTGTTTTGGGTGCAACTAGGTTTTCATGTCAATATGCACCTAGTGCAAGTTAAAATAAGTTCCTTAAAACAAGGCTTGTCTTGAGAGTCGATGTTGACATTGAGTGATGTTGTTGATAGTCGATGACTCCATGTTGATGTTGAAGTTGATATTGATGTTGATGTTGATATGTGCTTCCTCCGACCAGGCGGCAACTCCTGCATCAGTGACAAATGGCGGAAGGAGTATCTGCCGGAACACTGTGTCAGCTCCGTGGAGATCTTGGATCCTGCTGATGAGACATGGAGCCGGGGACCGGAGCTTCCTAATGCTCTGTGTGGAGCTGGTGAGTGACTACTGTGTTCTTATGTTTAGGAGAGGCAGGGTTGGCCCAGTCATGCCTGTGCAGAGTTGCCTCCCTTAGGCACGCCAGAATCCTATGATCATGAGTTTGAATCCCAAATTAGCTCTGCTTATTCTAATTGGTTTGCCAGCACCATAACTGTGCTCTTGGGTTTCCCCAAAGTGGTAACCTTTAAAACCGGCATCACATCTGGAGTCAGTCAGGAGACTAAGATCTAGAACCCTTATTCTAATTACTGACGACGGTTAAAATTATGTTTACGATTTAACAGTATTTGTTATTGTATTGTACCTTATAATTGTGTATTGTATTTCCATCAACTTTGAAAATCTTTTGATGAAGGTTAAGTATATTACTGCATTTCATACTAAATTCAAGGGGTAAATGTCCCCACATATTTATAATAAGGGCTGTGGTGTAGCCTAGAGGCTAAAGTGTTTGCTCGTCACACTGAAGACATGGGTTAGTTTCCCAACTTGGGCACAATGTGCCCCCTCCATGATATTGCTGGAATATTGCTAAAAGCATCATAAAACCACTCATGCATTATTAATTATCAGGGAGTCTCTATCCTCAGTCTTACACTATCGTTGGCAGAACTCTTTCCACTCCCATTCCTGTCCCATTCCTCTCACACTCCTCTCACTTTCCACTCACATTCCCCTCACATTCTTCTCACATTCCTCTCACTCTTCTTACATTCCTCTCACATTCCCCTCCCATTCGTCTCACATTCCTCTCACTCTTCTTACATTCCTCTCACATTCCCCACCCATTCTTCTCACATTCCTCTCACTCTTCTTACATTCCTCTCACATTCCCCTCCCATTCTTCTCACATTCCTCTCACTCTTCTTACATTCCTCTCACATTCCCCACCCATTCTTCTCACATTCCTCTCACTCTTCTTACATTCCTCTCACATTCCCCACCCATTCTTCTCACATTCCTCTCACTCTTCTTATATTCCTCTCACATTCCCCACCCATTCTTCTCACATTCCTCTCACTCTTCTTACATTCCTCTCACATTCCCCACCCATTCTTCTCACTCTTCTTAAATTCCTCTCACATTCCCCTAGCCTAGTGGTTAGAGCGTTCGCTCGTCACGCCGAAGACCCGGGTTCGATTCCCGACATGGGTACAATGTGTGAAGCCCATTTCTGGTGTCCCCCGCCGTGATATTGCTGGAATATTGCTAAAAGCGGCATAAAACCAAACTCACTCACTCTTCTCACTATCCTCTCACTATCCTCTCACACTTTTCTCACTCTTCTCACTATCCTCTCTCACTCTTCTCACTATCCTCTCTCGCTCTTATCACACTCCTCTCACTCTTCTCACACTCCTCTCACTCTTCTCACTATCCTCTCCCACTCCTCCCACTCTTCTAACTATCCTCTCTCACTCTTCTCTTCTCACTATCCTCTCACTCTTCTCACATTCCTCCTCTCACACTCCTCTCTTCTCACTATCCTCTCACACTCTTCTCACTCTTCTCCCACTCCTCTCACTCTTCTCACACTCCTCTCTCTCTTCTCACTATCCTCTCACACTCTTCTCACACTCCTATTACTCTTCTCACTATCCTCTGAGACTCTTCTCACACTCCTCGCACTCTTCTCCCACTCTTCTAACTATCCTCTCTCACTCTTCTCTTCTCACTATCCTCTCACTCTTCTCACATTCCTCCTCTCACACTCCTCTCTTCTCACTATCCTCTCACACTCTTCTCACTATCCTCACACTCGTTGCACTCTTCTCACTATCCTCTCTCACTCTTCTCACTATCCTCTCACTCTTCTCACACTCCTATTACTCTTCTCACTATCCTCTGAGACTCTTCTCACACTCCTCGCACTCTTCTCCCACTCTTCTCCCACTCTTCTCACTATCCTCTCTCACTCTTCTCACATTCCTCTCTTCTCACTATCCTCTCACACTCTTCTCACACTCCTCTCAATCTTCTCACTATCCTCTCTCGCTCTTCTCACATTCCTCGCACTCTTCTCACTATCCTCTCTCACTCATCTCACATTCCTCTCACACTCTTCTCACACTCCTCTCACATGCCTGTTCCGTTGCTCCGCCAGGTATTGTGAAGTACAGCAACACCATCCTGATCGTGGGTGGTGAGGACGACAAGAGCTGGATGGCGGGGCTGTGCTGGCTGAAGGAGGACCGGGGCAAGGAGTCGTGGGTGGAGGGGCAGGAACTCCCCACCGTCATGAGCACCTTCGGCTGCGTCGTCGCCAACATCCCGCACGAAGTTCTCAAGCAACAATGACACATCATCATCATGTGCACACTCCAGAGACAGCGATGGCGACAGTGTGCAGACAGTACATGCTGAGCAGACGGCACATGCTGAGCAGACAGTACATGCTGAACAGACGGCACATGCTGAGCAGACGGCACTTGCTGAGCAGACGGCACATGCTGAGCAGACGGCACATGCTGAGCAGACGGCACTTGCTGAGCAGACGGCACATGCTGAGCAGACGGCACATGCTGTGCAGACGGCACTTGCTGAGCAGACGGCACATGCTGAGCAGACGGCACATGCTGATAACATGACAGACACCTTGAAGACAAGACGGTGTAAAACAGCTGACACAACAAATACATACACAATAAAACTGTGAATGCAGGTCACAGATTTTGTGCAGACACAGTGTTCTGTTTGACTGTCAATACAGCAGACATTGTGCAGTGTGGAAGTAGTGTCGTTCTAATGTCATGGAGTGTCATGCAACATGTATTTCGAACACAGTGGAAACGATTGATATGGTGTTGTAGGATTGATATGGTGTTGTGCGATTGATATGGTGTTGTGCAACATGAATCCATGACACAATGCAACATTGTTAACAATGGCATTTATTGTAAAGATGTGTAACCTGAAATCCTGATATTGATTATAAACAAAGTGCGATGCGAGGAGACTTTCTGACATGAAATGAGTTACAAACATGACGTGGTCACAATCGACCTGAAAGTGTGAAACATTGACTGCAACTCATCTCATGAAGCTCATGATGCCTACAAGTGACCTGCAGTCTGTGGCACTGAGCACAGTGGGGCCCTTGATTCATTCTTGCATGGACACAATCATTGAGTCATAGAATCGAGTAGAGTCCAGAAAGGACTATCTTGTGGACTACCACTTTTATCCTTAGGTAGATGGCAGCACTCGTGAAAATAGATATTTATTTCTAGTCCTAGTCTGGATGAATTCACAAGTGTCATTATCAAGAATGATGTCATCAAAAGCAGTGTCATCATCAAGTGGACTGTCATTGTCATCATCAGGACAGTGTCATCAAGGGCAGTGTCATCATCAAGTGGACTGTCATTGTCATCATCAGGACAGTGTCATCAAGGGCAGTGTCATTGTCATCCTACACGTGCTTGTGAGTTTCACCAAAGTGGTAAACGCTGGAGATCTACATCATTTTCACATCAAGCTGACCAGCCGTGACATAACTAGTTCAAAGCGGTGTTAAACCCAACTCACTGACTCACTCATTATCATCAGGACCTGAAGCTGTAGATGCAAGGGTCTTTGTTCAGATGTCACTCACTGACTCACTCATTATCAGCAGGACCTGAAGCTGTAGATGCAAGGGTCTTTGTTCAGATGTCACTCACTGACTCACTCATTATCAGCAGGACCTGAAGCTGTAGATGCAAGGGTCTTTGTTCAGATGTCACTCACTGACTCACTCATTATCAGCAGGACCTGAAGCTGTAGATGCAAGGGTCTTTGTTCAGATGTCACTCACTGACTCACTCATTATCAGCAGGACCTGAAGCTGTAGATGCAAGGGTCTTTGTTCAGATGTCACCAACCACATAGTTCCTTCATCACCTGGTACTCAGCCAACATCAATCTCAGCAACACAAGTACAGCGTGGTTACCATGGCTACAGCTTCACAAACTTTTCACATACTGACAGAAGTGTGTGATGAGAGCCAGTGTGGTAAGATTAGTGTGTGGGTGTGACAGTGTACCACTGTATCACTGTACCATGTAAGATACGTAGAGATCTGATTATTGTTTCATTGTGGGCTGTGTGTGTTACTAGTGTGAAAGCGTTACCATCGGACGACAAGGGAGATAACTCCTGTGTATGGGAGTTGTGTTTGCTTATTGTCTTACAAGGTATGTTCGCGTGTTTGTGCAAGAATTGATTTTGTCTGCCAGATTGTATTATATGCAATAGCTAACTGATAACCATGGTTACAGCTGTGATTGTGTGTCACAGACAGTATTATCAATCATGTAAGTGCAGATCACAGATAGTGGTCCAGTACTTTGCTTATTGCCAAGTTTTTGTTTTCAGCTGTATATAAATATCCAATGTCTTTCAGTGAATTGTTTGGTAATATTATACATATCATTTGTATCGAGGGCAGTCTAGCCATTTGATACTTCATAACTAGATCTGTTATGCATCTAGTCAAGATAAGGTTTTCTAGGCATTTCCCAATGGCTGAATATTGTGTTTCACTGTCTTCTCATGATCACATATTTCCAATGTCGCCACTCTAGATTTCATCTATATATATAAACAGTGATGTTCAAGTTACTTCTGATATATTTCTGATGAACTTTTTACCATGGTTACTCTTTGGCTTTTGCCCCCTTTAGAAAATACCTGAAGCTGATCACTCACCAATCGTCTTCACTAATCTGTCTCCATCTGTATGGTTTGTAAGTCAAAAGACGGGACTGGAATCTTTCTGAATCTCATTCCACAAATGAAGTGTCTTGATTGTTTGCATATTGATGGTGAATGTGTTTGTGCGCTATTCAATTTTCAGTTCAAACCTTTGAATGTTTTCAATACTACTTTGATGTCAGTTTGTGTTATTTTTCCAGAGTCAGTTATGCCAGTTGTGGACACTACTGATTATTGAATTGCCAAATTTGAAATTATATATTCAAAACATACATGGTCCTTCTCAGAACCCTGATGTAAACAGTTGTAATGTTGGAGTCCAAATTTTACAATAATATTGTAGACCATCAAGTACCCCAGGGTAACTTAGCTCACCTGGTTAATTAGCTCAAACCCAGGGTTACTTAGCTAACCCCAGGGTTTTTAAGCTCACCCCAGGGTTTATTAGCTCACCCCAGGGTTACTTATCTCACCTGGTTAATTAACTCCCCCACGGGTTAATTAGCTCACCTGGCTGAAAGTCAAGTGAGGTTATGTTGCGGCATGTTGTCTGTCCAGTTGTCTGTTCGTCCGACATGGCGACCATATTGAAAATGCCACTCTTGGCCTAACACATTGCTTCTAAGCATTTCAGTCAGTGGCTGCCTTCTAGTTCTCATGAATATCAACAGATTACCACGATGTCTGCTGATTAGGGATGGGTATTGGAGGTTTAAAGTAGATCGAAATATTTTATGATGCCCAGGGTCGTATTGCGTTACGTATCACAATATATTGCATAGTTCTAAATTTTTCATTCAGAAGCAATTTGAAACAGTAGTTTATGAATTGAAGTTCATAAGTGGAACAAAACAAGATGACGGTACAAAATGTTTACTCAGTCAATAAAAGGCATGGATGCATGCTCTGGATTCACACCCTGGGTTAGACTAACATCTAGTCTCTGAAATGAACATATTGTACAGAAAAAACAGTTGTTCAGTTATCTTAATAAAATTATTATAAAAGGGAGCCCAGTGACTTCATTTTCAGATACTGCAGTAATCAAGACTTGCCAAACATTACAGACTTGCATGGGCTGTATTTGATACATATTTGTATCAGGGTCTGTAAGACAGACTAACCCTGGGTATTTGGCCAGTGTATAACATACAACACATGATAAAAATTGCCATTTGAAATTACCCGATATATCAAGGATTTAAATATGATATTGTGATACGCATCGCGGAGAGAGTGAACCTCAATAGGCTGATATATCGGTAATACCGCACACCCTTACTGCTTATCATCAATCATCATTTAGAGCCCTGGGCCTTGTGCCACAAAGCGAACACAGTATGATTATCTCCATTCTTCCGGAACTAAATGAAACCCAACTCTTTGATTTCAGTAAATGTAGTGAGTGGGTTGATTTTAGTGATTTGAGTGGGTTGTCGATCTGAATTATGGAATCACCGACAACAGCCTGTAAACAAACTAGGGCACTGTATATGCTCAAGCAGTTTGTTTACACTGCAATTCTTCACTCGAACGTATGTAGCATGGAAACTTTGTGCTAACATGAGGTGGGCTCCCCAAAAGGCATCCTCCCGAGGCAAGAGAGTTAACTGACTTTAAAAGTCCAGTTTCCACCCTTGCCGAACTAGACTGGAATTACTGGGCTAGATCGTAGCGCCACCAATGGCTATTACCAGTTATGTCCCTTCTAAGCCTCACCTTTGGACCAATCAGATTCCACTTCTCGTATCACATGTGTTTGCTTCACACAAAATGGTGGCGCCCAGTCAGGACAATCTGATCGATAATAAAGATCTATATTGTGATAAAATGGGTCTTACATCGTGAAATACATCAAATCACCTGAGCACCTTGATTAAAAACATGAAAACATTTGGAAAAAATCTGCTGACAACGAGTTGGCGGTGCATATGCTTTACAAATCCTGCAATCGACCGAAATCTGCACGACAGTTTACGAACCGGATTTCGATTTCGGTGTGCTATTTTGATTGGACTATGCATAGACTTGTTAGTCCAGCCAAAATGTAACTCCAAAATTCCAGCCTAGTTCGGCAAGGGTTTTCCGGAAACTGACTTTTAAAGGCAGTTAACTCTCTTGCCTCGGGAAGATGCCCAAAAGGAAACTAAGCAAGCCTTACTAAAGTTTCTTGTTATGCCGCACGTCACTATTATGATGCCATACTGCTCATTGTGATAAGATAAGACAGAGTTGTTAGGAGAAAATGACAAATTCCAAGCTTCCTTATGTCCCCAAACATTGAAATTCATTCTCTTGGCAGATTTCTATCATGTTTTCTGCACAACCTGTATTGCCACACATCCTTTGAATATTGGAGTCACCACAACTTCGTATTTTGACCCCAACATAAGCTAATCATAATGTAAATGACTGACAGTGACTATCATGTATCTATTATGTACTATGTGTATCACCCTGCGAAGTGATGCGGCCGTCAAATCGTCAGTCAACCTCTGATTTGTCAGTTGAACCATCACAAAACAAACTAAAGTAATCTGATTTGTGTAACAGTTTCTTCACAATCGTTTACCTGTCCTGACTCCACCATCCCCATCTCCAGGACATGCAGTAGTTTGAAAGTCGAGAGGGGATTTTATTGTGAAGGTTTAGTTCTTTCTATGTCCACATTTAGAACAAGATTGTTCACCTCTCCTGACTCCACCACCCCTATCTCCAGGACATGCGGTAGTTTCAATGTCAGGGGGTGACTTGATTGTGAAGGTTTGGCCTATCTTTGTCCACATATAGAACAAGATTGTTCACCTTTCCTGACTCCACCACCCCTATCTCCAGGACATGCGATAGTTTGAAGGGAAGGAGGTGACTTTATTGTGAAGGTTTGGTTCTTTCTTTGTCCACATTTAGAACAAGATTGTTCACCTCTCCTGACTCCACCACCCCTATCTCCAGGACATGCGATAGTTTGAAGGGAAGGAGGTGACTTTATTGTGAAGGTTTAGTTCTTTCTTTGCCCTCATTTAGAACAAGATTGTTCACCTCTCCTGACTCCACCGTCCCTATCTCCAGGACATGCGATAGTTTGAAGGGAAGGAGGTGACTTCATTGTGAAGGTTTAGTTCTTTATTTGCCCTCATTTAGAACAAGATTGTTCACCTCTCCTGACTCGACCACCCCCATCTCCAGCACATGCAATAGTTTGAAAGTCAAGAGGTGATTTTATTCTGAAGGTTTAGTTCTTTCTTTGTCCACATTTAGAACAAGATTGTTCACCTCTCTAAACTCACACACCCCCATCTCCAGGACAAACGATAGTTTGAAGGTCAAGAGGTGACTTGATTCTTAAGGTTTAGTTCTTTCTTTGCCCTCATTTAGAACAAGATTGTTCACCTCTCCTGACTCCACCACCCCCATCTCCAGCACATGCAATAGTTTGAAAGTCAAGAGGGGATTTTATTCTGAAGGTTTGGTTCTTTCTTTGTCCACATTTAGAACAAGATTGTTCACCTCTCTAAACTCACACACCCCTATCTCCAGGACATGCGATAGTTTGAAGGGAAGGGGGTGACTTGATTCTTAAGGTTTAGTTCTTTCTTTGCCCTCATTTAGAACAAGATTGTTCACCTCTCCTGACTCCACCACCCCCATCTCCAGCACATGCAATAGTTTGAAAGTCAAGAGGGGATTTTATTCTGAAGGTTTGGTTCTTTCTTTGTCCACATTTAGAACAAGATTGTTCACCTCTCTAAACTCACACACCCCTATCTCCAGGACATGCGATAGTTTGAAGGGAAGGGGGTGACTTGATTCTTAAGGTTTAGTTCTTTCTTTGCCCTCATTTAGAACAAGATTGTTCACCTCTCCTGACTCCACCACCCCCATCTCCAGCACATGCAATAGTTTGAAAGTCAAGAGGGGATTTTATTCTGAAGGTTTGGTTCGTTCTTTGTCCACATTTAGAACAAGATTGTTCACCTCTCTAAACTCACACACCCCATCTCCAGGACAAGCGATAGTTTGAAGGTCAAGAGGTGACTTGATTCTTAAGGTTTGGTTCTTTCTTTGCCCTCATTTAGAACAAGATTAATCACCTCTCCTGACTCCACCACCCCTATCTCCAGGACATGCGATAGTTTGAAGGGAAGGAGGTGACTTCATTGTGAAGGTTTGGTTCTTTCTTAGCCCTCATTAAGAACAAGATTGTTCACCACTCCTGACTTGACTACCCCCATCTCCAGGACATGCAATAGTTTGAAAGTAGGTACCAGCAGGAAAAATTTTAGCTACCTTTTTTGACATAACAAACTGACTTTTCTTAAACTTTCAAGGAATACAAGCAAACCAAAAAAAGAATTATGAAGATATCTTTATTAGTTCTTGAGATATTGACAATCGAACATCCATTGTGGGCAAATTTAATTACATTTGGACAAGTTCTGCATTTATTCATAACAAAACAAAGACTAACACAAGCAAACAAAAAGTATTTGAACAAAATATATATAACTCTAAACCATTTGTAGAATTACTGTCCACATCTGAGGACATATAATCAGAAATATTGAGCTCTAAAAATTGAAAAATGTTGGAAATTAAACTTGAAAATTTAGTCGTTTACCACATTTCACATCACCATAAAAGGAATATTTCTGACAGCAAAAGGCATATAAAACATTTTCCAAACACAATTGGTTATATATTTTAACTCTATTTTTTTCCAGGTCTCTGATAATGCAATTGAACCTGTTAGAAGCTACCAAAGATGACAAAATCTTAAATTTTTGTTGCGGAAAAATGTCAACAGATTGCCTGTTTGTATAATTTTTCATTTTTCTCTAATTCCTTAACTATTCAAGCAGTAAAACTTTGTAGACTAATAGTACACATGTCTGTCAATGACATATTCAAATAACAATATATTACAGTAATAAATGATGTCTTGTACAAATAAAAAATATGGAAAAATAAAGAATACGGACAATCAACCGTAGTGAATACCAATTCATGTTTTTATACATACAACACAAAAGTGGGCCAAATTCAATGTTTCAATTTCATTAGTTTCAGTAGTTTGATTGTCAACATGTCTAATATTGTCAACATGTTTGTTTGTTGCTACTGCAACAGCTCTACTAAAACAACAAACTACTAGTAATATCGGCAATAATACAAAAAATTAACAATAAAGTTCTTTGTAAAGCTTGTACTTTTGGCCCAGAATAATAAACCGCTCAAGAGTGCTTATACTCCACATTCTGGCATTGGTTGTTGTGACTTCAAAGTCCCAGTCAAACACAAATTCTGCTAAAATTGTCTCTACATCTGACTTAGACCATCTAAAAATGTTCTTCTTCAATCGACACTTCTCAAGGAAGGTCACTTCTGCTTGCTCTTTAGTTGCAACAGACAAAACTTGGCCAATATAAAAATCATTGTCAAAGTAGACAGCTACGAATTGTCCTTGATTTGAAAAGCTGAAGCTGCCAAACTGAGCATCATTTATGATGGCTTCTTCATCTGCAGCAGCTTCAGCTTCTTCATCCGTGTCCAATTCTGCCATGGTTGTCTCTGCTGACGGCAGTTCCTCGTCACCAAGATGGGCTTTGAGATTGCTGGCAAGTTCTCCGATACTGCCACACAGTTTAAGATGATTTTTCAGGAAACCTAAAACAATCTTTTGATATCTAATTTCTTCTTTAAGGAAGTTCAGCTTTTCTGTATTGCTGTCGAAACGTCCGAGCAGTTTGTCCACATCCCTTGCACGCTGACAGGGTCCTCCGTGTTTGTGTACGGACTCAGACAGCTTTTTCTTTCTAGCAGCAAGTTGAGCTTCCTTTCTCTCCTTCTTCAGTCTGTTTGCTGCAAGGATTTCCCTTTGCTTGCTGAGAACACTTGATTGTTCAACTTGATGTGCCTTGCGCAGGCCTTCAGACCTCTCTGAGCAAAGTTTCAGCAACTCATCCTGTTCCTTCTCAGATTTGGTGTTAAACCAAACTGACGTCTTGTTTCTTTTCAACATGTTCATGGTGCTGTGATGATGAAGGGATGCATGTCGTCGCTTGAAGATGCTGAAGTCTAGGTCTCCAAAGCAAGCTTCACCAATCAGGTTGGTTATCTTGGAGTGCTTCATCTTGTCGATCTGCTGCTTATCCTTCACATCATGGTACTTGCCACCAGGCAAGAAATCACAGAGCTGTCTTTCTACAACAACCAGGAACTGCGCACAAAGTCTCTGGAGAAGTAGGGTGACCGTTGAATGTTTGTTGGTGCTGTTCCCGTGGTAGAGTCCAGGAAAGACATTGCTGTCCACTGTGATATCAAAAAGGGGAGGACATTGGTCTTCAGCAAGTTGACTGGCGTCAGCCTCCCACCTCTTCAAGGAATCATGCATTCCTGTCACATACTTGAAGAAGTCCAAGTAGGTGATATCTCTGCCGATCAAGATCCAGTATGGGCCAGTAATCTTCTGGTAGATGATCCCCAAAGATATGATGATTGCATCAACGTTATCGCATTCAGCATCATTCAATACGCTTTCCTGCTTCAGGTTCAAGGATGGCATGAAGTTCTTCAAGAAATCTATGACTTCTCTTCTGTGATGGTGAAGGGATGCAGCAGCCTGGAATAGATTGTTAA